GCTTTCCCTTCTCTTTCGTAAAGTAAGCAATTTCCCCCTATTTGCTGAAAACACCAGCAGCTAAGACATTAAGGAACAGTCTAACTCTTTAGTCACTTCGGGGAATGGCGGGTGACAGTTAGGGTTAAGGTTGACAGCACCCTGAAAAAAGTAAAGATGTGCCCCAGTGGAGATACCTGCACCTACTAGTAAGCTTAAAATTATCGCGACTAGTGATAAATATCTCTGCACTCTTTTGAGATTAATGATATCTAGCGAGCCTCCTTGTAAAATAACGCAATTGATATTGATCATCACCAGCTACACTCTATAGTAAAACACCGGCTTATTTTCTACTATTAATATGGCCTGCGCTGGAGGAGTAAGAATTCAACTGTCTCAGTTGGGCGGCCAGCTTCGTGGTCTTTACTCCATCGGTTTTGGGTGGAGGGTCCCCTTTTCTGTCTTTTCTTCAGTCCATCCCCTGTCTTAATTCAGATTGGAGAGGTGTTGAATGCCGATTGTGGGTGGCATAGTGATGCAGACGTTGGACTTCAGCTTACGACCCACATGGCAAATGCAGTTGCATCTATAGCCAAATATCCCGCTTCCTCAATCTATGACTGACTATATACCCAATCCCGTGATATGCCGATGGTGTATATACCAGCTCAGTATTATACCCTTGCAGGCGTTTCTAGTCTACCTTTTATAATCACTCTGTAAGATATGAGAAGAATACACTGACGATCGGTTACTGTCAAAGGCAGAGGCTGCAAGGGGAAGTGATGATCAAGGTATAATAATCTGTATAACATTATTTTATATCACTGGGTTGTATATGCTCACATTTGTTGGCCGTAATGCTTGTAGATTGGTCCTACATACAAATTCAAGCCACAAAGGTACAATTACGATGGGAGCCCAATTAGATTGGACTAGAAAATAGAGGAAAAGAGGAAAATGAAAAGAGGTAACGCTTGTTGTTATCTAGGCCCTCCTTTCATAGGGAGTAGAATGCGCAAAGGTGTTAATGACTTAGACCATTCGGCTTGGGCTAATCCGTTAGATTACACTGGGCCTTAGGAAATGCCATTAATATACCAAAGATACTCTGTGCAATAATACGTCGATCACCTACAATGCCATATAGTGATAAAGCATGCTAAGCATATCTTCAGGAGTTCTTCTCCCGTCACTCTTAATAACTGAGCATAAGAATGAAAGCTTGCACGACTTAGAAAGCCTTTTCTTTTGAATCCATATACCGTTAGCTAGTGTACCCGCTCTCTCATTGACTATGCTTCTTCTCAGGAGCTTTGTTTTATCTTTGGTCATTTCCCCCCTTCTAGCCTCGTACGTTGTTTTTTTCTTTTTTCTTTTCTTTTTTTTTAATGTTCTACGTGATGGTTCTTTGACCGAGTGCTAAAGCCCTGTAAATTAGTGGCCACAAAACCAATCATCAAGGGCTTCATGACGCTCAAAAACGGTCTGCCAACAATTCCTATCTAGCATCCGACAATGCTACAGAATATGACTATGTAGTTGTCGGTTCGGGTCCCGGAGGCGGCCCATTGGCAGCACGGTTGGCTATTGCAGGCTACAAAGTCCTTCTTATCGACGCCGGGGATGATCAGGGTAATGCAACTAAGCACCAGGTTCCCGCGCTGCAGTTGCAGTCGACTGAATACGAGCCAATGCGTTGGGATTATTTCGTCAACCATTACTCTAACTTGGCCCGCCAGGAGGAAGATTCAAAAATGACGTACAGAACTCCGTCTGGAGACCTTCATGTTGGTCCCAATTCCCCTGCCAATTCGGAGCCACTGGGAATTTTGTACCCTCGAGCCGGCACCTTGGGAGGTTGCTCCGCACACAACGCTATGATGTTAGACTAAGTTTCCCAACTGTTGATGTAACAGTGTGCCATTCTTTCTAACAACTCGATAGCACAATTCTTGCCTATGACAGTGACTGGGACAATATTGCGTCTGTTACGGGCGATGACTCTTGGTCAGCCAAGAAGATGCGCGATTATTTCAAACGACTAGAGCGTAATCGCTATTTGCCGAATAGTGTTGCTGGACATGGTTTTGACGGCTGGCTCACCACTAGCCTAACACAGCTGAAGCTTGTTCTTGAGGATCAGAAATTGTTGTCCCTGGTTGTTGCGGCAGCTACAGCTGCTGGTCAGAATTTACTAGGCAAGATTGTCAATACCGTGACTGGCCTTAGTGATATTCTGCTCCGAGACCTCAATAATGACGGTGCAAATCGTGATCAGCAAGTTGGTCTATTCCAGGTGCCTCTCGCTGTAGAAATTCCCGAATATAGACGCACAGGTCCCCGTGACATTTTGATGGACACGGTCAATGCTGCGAATACCGATGGCTCGCGCAAATACCATCTTGATATCCAACTGAACACTCTTGTGACAAATGTACGCTTTGAGTCATCTGGTAACAAGCCTAGGGCAACTGGGGTGGACTATATCAAAGGTCGGAGTTTGTACAGAGCCGATCCACGGTCAGAAAGTGCACCTGTGGGTACTCCGGGGTATGCCAATGCAGCCCGCGAAGTCATCTTGTCTGCAGGCACGTTCAATACACCTCAGTTGCTGAAGCTTAGTGGCATTGGACCCAAGGATGAGTTGAACAAGTGGAACATCTCAGTGCTCGTTGACCTTCCTGGTGTTGGCACCAACCTCCAAGATCGCTATGAGACCGGCTTGGTTGGAAAGGCGCCCACAGATTTTACCCTTACGACCAAGTGCACATTCATGGATAGTCTACCAGACCCTTGTCTTGAACAGTGGCAGAACAATACCTTGGACAAAGGTACATACACAACTAATGGCATTGCGATTGCCATCATCCAAAAGTCCTCTGCTTCGGATGGAGAGCCGGACCTCCTCATATCCGGAGCCCCTGCCAACTTCCAGGGATATTTCCCCGGTTACTCTTATAAAGCTCTGAAAGACGCTCAACATTGGACTTGGATTGTCTTGAAGTCACACAGTCGCAATAATGCAGGCACAGTAGAGCTCAGATCTACAGATCCTAAAGACACCCCGATCATTAACTTCAACTCGTTCGATACCGGTATCACAGAAGACGATGCCGACAGCAAAGATTTACAGGCTGTGTACGAAGCTATGGAGTTTTCGAGGAGGATTTTTGATAATATTGTTCCCCTAGATGGAAGTTTTGAGGAAATATGGCCAGGGCCCAATGTCACGACGGAAGCAGAGCTGAAGAAGTTCATCAAGAGAGAGGCATGGGGCCATCATGCTTGCTGCACCAACCCGATCGGCCCTGACACCGACAAGGATAGCGTATTGGATTCCCGCTTTAGGGTTCGAGGTGTCGATGGCCTCCGAGTAGTGGACGCGTCGGTTTTCCCTAAGATTCCCGGATACTATATCGCGCTGCCCATCTACATGGTCAGCGAAAAGGCAGCTGATGTTATCATCTCTGATGCAGCCTGAGCTTTTGGCGTGTGCTCCTTTTCTTTACAAGCTTTTAGCTGTATTTTCCTTCTTTTCTTTCTGTCCCCGAGTTTGTCCAGGCTATACGTATAGGCTTAATAATGAGATCCCCTGTGCTTTTACATACTGTAGAGACACAATGATATTGACCTGCTAGGTTAACCATAAAAGACGTAAATGATATTTTTCAGCCTTGGAAGCCGTGAGACTGCCAAGATCGAATGCTTCTGCTATCGTTTCGACTCGAAATATATAGGCTTACGGCCTTAGGCATCCCTGGAATATCAGTAGGTTACGTCACTTTCCTCCGTAAGGTCCAACTCTTGGCCCCCCGCTCAACGTACTTATTAGTCTTACTTCGAATATATTTGTAGGCCACCATCTCAACTTACACGCCAAAGCTGCATTTTCTATACATTCATAGATCGTTACTTAATATTATAACTAATCTAAACAATATGCCGAGTAGGGCTACCCAACAAGGCTCCGTCGAGAATATGTGAGCGCTAATATTTCTAGTGTACAGAACAACCTGATTACTGTAAATACTATTCTCGATTCTACCCGACCAAACGATAGTGTTTTTTTTTTGACTGGGGTACAGACAAAGTTCTAGGCGTGTCTCCGAATGCAACCCAAAGAGAAATTCGCAATGCGTATAAAAGGTGAACATCGGCATCTGCTCATATCTTAACGTTCGGTGTGGTTGACCCGTCCAGGGAGTCTTTAAAATCACATCCTGACCGTGTACCTGCCGACTCTCCTGAACGGCCTGCCCGGACGCGCAAATTTCAGGAAATCAATGATGCCTATTATACCCTTTCAAACGAATCACGCCGGAGAGAGTACAACGCAACAAGGCCGGTGGAAGCGGAGACTGAGGATGAAGAACCCCTAGGTGGCACCGGGGGATTCTCATGGTCTTCATTCGGGTTTGGCACGAGCGACCGTGAACAATGCGCCTCTGAACAATTCGGTTCGGTGTTTGAAGAGATGCTACGCGAGGAGGGCCTTGCTAGTGATGATACTGACGCTGACGTCCATCGGCGGACCAGGCCTACATCTCGCTTCTGGTCTATTGTTGGTGGAATAAGTGGTGGTGCACTTGGGTTCATTGTCGCCAATGCTGCCGGTGCTTTCGCTGGTGCAGTTGCAGGAAATCGGCTCGGCGCTGTTCGTGATGCGAAGGGCAAAAGCGTTTACGAGGTCTTCCTAGATCTTCCACAGGGTGACCGTGCCAGGTTATTAAGCGAATTAGCGGCCAAAGTTTTTCAGTCCACAGTGGGACGATAACTGCATGTTGGGCTATCATTTTGATCAATGTTAGTGGGCTTTATTATTTTTCTTTATTTCCTGGTCTGTGATCGATGGGAAGGCGTTCCAAGGCTGGAGGCTTTAACCCTCATGAATGGGTGATTTAAGGATTATGTATTTTTCATTGCATTGTTGGCCGCTAGAGTGGATACTCAAGAAGTTATTCGTCTTTTTGGTGTACGATATTGAATGACTATAAACACTATACTACGTATCATACTTCATCCCTATCGGTGCATATCTTCCCCAAGTTCAGGTTGTTATCGATAAGCATGGACCTACGGTGACCTGCAGGATCGGTAGTTACTCCGGACTCGAGATACAACATACTACTAGTAGTAATACTCATAATAGTACTACTGTATTGTGGTAGTAGTTGACCTCCTTCATTTGTTACAGCAATGCCTGGTACCGTCAGTACATAGATTCCTTAAAACAAGTAAGTTATTGTTAGTATCTACTAGTCCCTGGTACACCTCCTCTAGCCGCATGCGGTCAGGACTCGTTCTTCATGGTTATAGATTCAGCCTGTTGTCTCGGTTTCTACAAATATCGGATTGACTTTCCTTCTCTTTAGGATTGCCATCTTTTCTACGTATCTCAACCTTCTGCATTTCCTATCTCCTCGCCACAGCGTCATGGCAGCGGAAGCCGCAGGCGTGTATCCGGCTCTGGTGGACCGTCCTGCAAAGGACACGATCTGTCTTTTTGATGTCGACGGTACATTGACTCCTGCGAGAAGGGTAGGTTGGAAAGTCGATGATGTGTCTCACTATCTTGGCATCTTATCTCAAGGACTTTTGGTTGAAGCTTTACTAATCAGTTCTTGGAAACTGCAGACTATCTCTCCCGAAATGCTCCAGCTCCTCTCTCAATTGCGCCATAAGTGTGCTATTGGAACTGTTAGTCCCCGTTATTCTCGGAAAGCAGCCCGCAGCCTCACACTGCACAGGTTGGTGGCTCTGATCTTGCCAAGCAGCAAGAGCAACTAGGCACATCCTCAACAAAAGTTTCCTCACTTTTCGATTTTTGCTTCGCCGAAAATGGATTGACTGCAATCCGCTTGGGCAGGTTTCTTGCCAGCAACAGCTTCATCACGTGGCTTGGGGAAGAGAAATACCAGAAGTTGGCTAATTTCTGCCTGAAGTACATCGCGGATCTGCACCTTCCAAAGAAGCGTGGTACTTTCATCGAGTTCCGCAATGGAATGATTAATGTCAGCCCCGTTGGCCGCAATGCCAATGTTGACGAGAGGAATGAATTCGAAGCGTACGTACCGGAACTCACTCCTGATCCTAATTACTATGGTTGGCTTACAACGGCAATAGCTATGACAAAAAGCACAACATCAGAAAGGACTTTGTAGAAGCCCTCAAGACGGAATTTCCTGACTACGATCTTAGGTAAGTCATAGATGCAACTGTTTCAGCCTCATGCAATCAAGCATTCGATGTTAATAATATCCTTTTTTAGTTATTCGATTGGTGGCCAGATCTCATTTGACGTTTTCCCCACTGGCTGGGACAAGACCTACTGCCTGCGCCATATCGAAGCCGAGAAAGATCTCTCGGGCGTTGAGTACAAGACCATTCATTTCTTCGGAGATAAATCTTTTCCCGGAGGTAATGATTACGAGATATATAGCGATTCTAGGACAGTTGGGCATGCGGTCAAAGACCCTGAAGATACCATGATGCAGCTGAAAGAAATATTCCAGCTATAATCCAGGGATTAATCAGCAAAAGTTATATCTGGTATTTCATTTGGCTCAAATAGTAATGATACATATTATGCTACTTCAGGCGGACTTGATTATGACTTGAGAATGTCAGGTAACTATGTCTTATAGCGAGTTACCTAATTGATGAAATATACATGGGTCAATTGTTCCAAGACTATGACGTGCTCTGAATCATTCTTTCTCGGCCAACCTCCCCTCATTTGACTTTGCCCTTGCGTGTTACAGAGGGAAGATTGAGCGTTCGAGCTCAATGTATAAACCAGGGCATGTTACCATATGCTATTACAAGTAGAATATGAGGGCCTTATTCATCGGCTCCATAAAAGTGGCTCATCTTCCTAATCTTTCATCCTCATTCCATCTCTCGGCCTCGACATCTTCATCTCCAACCCTTTAGTTAATAATGGCGTGAATCACTCCACAGCACAGTTGCTTCTTGGATATTTAGATCTGATCAATTGAATATAACCCCCTTCTATACCTTGTATTGCATTTTACAGGCGCCATTACTAGACGGCCCCCATTCCTATACATATGCCCGAGTCAAGCTAAACCATTTACAAGGCCATGTATAACTACCTTTTGGAGTTTACTTTTTGAGCAGAAGTTACCGAAAGGTCTTGCTCTTTTTAACGACGGAGCAAACTTGGTTATGCATAACTAATAGATACAAATGAAACTACTCCGTAGATAAGCACTCCTATAGATGTAGAACTAAGAAAGGCACCGGGCCTCTGTAATACCACGCACTACTTCTATCTTTATCGTGCTTAATATACGTATGCTTTTTTATACATTCTAACCGAGTGCTTTTTTGACAATATTGGTAATGGTGGCTATGATACAATGCTTTGACAGAATTTAGTTCAGTTTCCTTTTGAGATGTTTTACTTTTCTTTGTTCCTGCTTTGTATCGGACGGAACTTGTCCGGAGCCGGGGAAGTTCCCGGTTTTCCGACTCGGGGAAGTCAAGGCCTCGGGCATTGAATTTGCTGGGCCTGGCGTCCTGGATCATCGAATGAGAGTACGAGAACCCCTAGTTAGTCATCCGGATAGCAGGAGCTTCCTCATCGTCATTTGATTTTATGGATCTAAATCAAACATTCATTCGTCTTTGGAAGCCTCCCCTACAGACTACTTGCACCTGGCTCGAATAAAACACTATTATACCGCGCAAGGAAATGGCACCACAAAAATCCGTTACCGAGGTGCCGCGGTCTATACTCCCTCGCTTGACATGGAATGGCTCCTCTGCTCGGACTACTGTTCCTACCCCCCAGAGCAACATTCTATCAGCAAAGCAGCAACAAAAAACGCTACGCATACATAGCCGGAACTCTGCTGGGCGACGACTGCATACTTTGACCTTTTCTCCTCACTCTTCTACATCCGTCTCCGCAGTAGTCGGAGAGCCGACCTTATCATCGATATCTAGACGATTACTGGAATCAACAAGCCTATCAATCAGCCGACCAGCGCCCATAGGTAATCCTATCCGATATAATGGTGTTTATGTCGCTGCATTCAAACCAGCTCGGCGCGCTTTCCATGCCTCCGCCCCCCAACAAAGAGACCACCATTTCGATACGTTAAAGTTCGTTCAGCGGTTGAAAGAGGAAGGTTTCAGTGAGGAACAGGCTGTCGCAATGATGCGAGTTCTAAATGATGTTATCCAAGAGTCTATTCAGAATCTAACCCGGACAATGGTCCTCAGAGAAGGTGAGTGGTACCTCAATTCTTCAGCGGAATTTTCTCAAATAGCACCAAGACATAAATTACTGCACATTCCGCGTAGCACCTCCCGGATTCTTAAGCTAATGAGCTTTTCCACAGACACCGAAAGATCGACGTATACTCAGAAAGTCGATTTCGCTAAACTCCGCTCCGAACTACTCAACGCGGATTCAACCGAAGCGCAACTAACACGTTCGTCACATGAGAAGATTGCTGCAGATCTAGCTAAGCTCAATTCACGACTTCGGGATGAGATTGGGCGCACACAAGCATCCGTTCGTCTGGACCTAAACCTTGAAAAAGGTCGTATTCGAGAAGAAGCAAATAGCCAAGAAATGCGAATAAAAGAGACGGAAACACGAATAGAGCAAGAGGTGGCAGGTTTGAGAGAACGCGTAGAGGCCGTGAAGTTCTCTACGCTACAGTGGCTGATGTGCGTAACCTTAAATCCTGGGAACCTGCTCTGCGTTGTACTAATATATGTTTTCCAGGGGTGTTTGCACGGGTACCGCTGCTTTGATTCTCGGTGCCTGGCGTCTCTTTATGTGAGTTGAAGACTTGTTTGAGAATAGGATGGAGAAAAAGGAAACAGAATAATAATTTATGGGCGTGCTTTTCTGGTTGGGTGGGGACTCAGGAGCTCCACATACTATTGTATATAGAACCGCCTTGCCCTCCGATTCTTACACAGGACCATAGGACCAGAGAAGGCATGTCCTCCGTCCCGTTGCCTTTGTTTCAATAAGCGACTACCCGGTTTCATTTTATCGTTGTTTTGACATTGAGATCTTCGCTCTATAGCAGCAAAGAACTAGAAACAGATCTTTGTTCCGAGAACAAGCTACTCAGCAATTGGAGCCCCGTGGTAGAGTACAAAACGAGTAATGGAAGCGCCATCTAGCCAGCGTAGCAGCCAATCCAGCGGTGCATCTTGATATTTACTTAACTGTCAAAAGTGTCGAAGTGTGCGATTACATACAGATTTGGAAGCTGACGCTGCTAAGCATATTAGATATGCTGCAAATAATTAGGGTCGATGTATTGAGGGTGTGACTTTTCAAGATTTCTATGCACACGCTACTCTTAACAATTTGCGGCTGGATCTACTAACGGAATCAACATCGGGACCAATTATCCTCGAGAAAGGATATGATATACTTCAACGTGTAGGTTGACGTGACGAGTCAGTTAATTGTGTCACCAACATGAACATTGCGCCAAATCTTCCGGTATCTCATTTGAGAAGCCCCTGCAGCAGGCCACAGAATATATGTAAAATGTTCAAGTTGTGCGGACAGCATTTTTTCTATCTTCCACCTATGATTGTGCCCTGCCTCTGCAGGTGGCAGTATGGGACTGGACTGGGGTGGCTTATCGGACTCCGATGATCATCCGTCACATCTCATCGACGAGTCAGTCTTTCCAATCAGGCATATGTATAGATTGTGTCGATAACAGGGAACCCATAGTTACAGGCCAATGATTTGCTTGACAACTAGCAGAGAAGTTCCTCCAGCTATAGGAAAAGGGAACGAGAAACGAGATTTCTGCAGATGCAACAACTTAACCCTGAGCCGAGGGCTCCCACCCATTGTTAAGATTATAAATCTGGCTCCAGCTAACATGCACTGCGGCCTGATTCTACGCTAATATATGCACAATGGAGCCATACTACTAGCACTAGTACCTAACCAGTCACTTCTTATATTGTGACCTGCCCCCTCATTCCATAATAGATGTCCTGTTATCTCACTAGCGCTGCCTACAAGCGGTATTCTAGTATTTTATAATCTTTGATGACGCCATTTTATGTGCCTGACTTGACAGTTCAGAGCAAACTAAACTATAAGGGAGCTTCTCCGACGACAATCATCAATTGCAAACCTACCTTCTCATGTGAAACGGTTCGTCGTGTCTTGAAACTGAGATGAACCCAAGAATTGTTTTTCCAGGCCTGTTTCAACACTACTGACTCACAGGCAGTTACGTTGTAACTATGTTGCTTCGCACAGTTTTAGGGCTTCTTTCTCTTTTAGCAGCTCCTTCTAAGGGCACATTAGAAGTATTTCAAGTTTGTCAGCCTGTTCAATACCGGGGAGAGGACAACACGCATTGTGACCAAAACGTACTGCTCATGGAGCATGTATTTGCCTCGAGCTATGGACACCCCTTTATAGGTGATTAGAGCCTCGAGGGCAGTCAGTTTACAGTATATTGATTTCCTCGTTACAGGATACTACAGTCCACCCAAATGTGAATTCGACACAGTTAAGATTAATCTCACGGTTACCTCCCAAGGCCGCCAATTTGATCGATTAGCACTTCTGTTTCTTGGAGATACAGAGGTATTCCGCACTTCAACAGCGGAACCTACGGCTGACGGAATTGTCTGGACCTATATAAAGGATATGTCGCAGTATAACGCACTATGGCAGACACGGCAAAAGCTAATTTTCGACCTTGGAAACATTATAAATGATTTATATACCGGCCCTTTCGGTGTGACTCTGACAGCATATTTCTCCCGGGAGGGTCATGTCAGGACCGCAGACGTAATTCTCCCAATATCTAACAAGAAGTCAGCCTCCAACTCGTCAAGTGCCTTTACTGTTCCTGGAGATAATACAAAGATACTGTACCAGTTACCTCCTAATATTTCGCGTGCAGTTGTGTCCATTTCCGTATGTGGCCAGTCTACTGAAGAGTTCTGGTGGTCCAATGTCTTTTCGTACGATACGGAGACTTTCAATGCCACAATTGGCGAGCTTTATGGTTACTCCCCCTTTCGCGAAGTTCAGCTCTATGTTGATGACATCCTTGCCGGTATTATATGGCCATTTCCTATAATCTTTACTGGTGGTGTTGCGCCAGGTTTTTGGCGTCCGATTGTTGGAATAGACGCCTTTGACCTGCGACAACCTGAAATCGATATTTCGCCCTTCCTCCCCATTCTCAAAGACGGACAACCTCATTCATTTGAGATCAAAATTGTCGGCTTGAGTGTTTCACGAAACGGGACCGTCACGTTCTCTAGCCGCGTCGGCTCATATTGGGTTGTAACCGGAAATATCTTCCTGTATCTGAGTGATTCTGCCTTGGATAGAACTAGCTCCGGAACAGAGAAGCCCTACGTCGATGCGCATACTCCACAATTTAAAGCCACGCGGAGCCTTGTCAAGAATCAGGCTGGAGGGAATGACTCTCTGAACTACTCTGTTCTTGTTGAAAGGACCCTTTCAATAAGATCATCCGAGTTCCTATGGAGTCAAAACCTCACATATTCCAATTTTGGTCTGTTTAACCAGCAAGGCATGAGCCAATCGACCAATCAACACACAGCTGGGAGGTCTACTATCATAGCCTTCGGAGCCAACCAAACATCAAATGAGGTCCTTTTCGAATATCCCTTGTCTGTGAATCAAACGTATCGCCCTACCGATGCTGGGCTTTCTATCCACGCTCAGATGAGTAGGGGTCTCGACATCAAAACAACAGGGGCAACCGGTATTTCTACTTATACTCTCATCTCGGGACCATCACGCTTGCACACTCAACAATGGGGCGAAGCATTCTATCAACCCACGGATAACAGCTCTATATCTTTTGGTGATACAACCGATGTATTTGAGAGCAGTAATATCCTGGGTCACTACAAAAGGTCGGTCCGAGCAGTGAACGGGAGTATTGTGTCCGATACAGATGATACAGATGACCAGTCACCTAGTTTGAATGACCAGAGCGATCATGACTCTCTCTTGAGATAATGGATTTATGCTATATCTGAGTCGTCTCTGAGTCAAGTTGAAAGCTTCAAGTGCTAGGTACCTTAGCCGCCAGTCACCATAGTTTTCACAAGCCATCTCATTGAAGTATCAAGGGGATTGAACCCATCAGTCCGGCCTAGGGGCTCAGTTCCCTGCAGTGCAGTATGACCCCGCTAGAATTCTTGTCCCGATCATGCATACGAAAGTTGAAGGGGGTTGAAGGTAGATGACCGAACTGGTTAATAGCATTCCCATATCCAGTGTCTGCTCAATTCATGTAGTCAGATGTAGCAATCGAATGAGCTGAAATTTCGTCTTGCAGAGACAGCACATTATGTAGGATGATGGGCCCCTCTTGTTATTCCCATTAGTGACTCTGGCATGCTGTGCTCTACTATAGTACCGTCCCACAATATGGACATCTTACGGAGCACGGTACACCTCGATCCATGGACAGGAGGTGGACACCTGTGTACCCGTCCTGCTTGGTCTTCAAATGCTGTGGCCAATCGGAGCTCGTTCGAGGCCATAGAAAGACTAGTACTATACAGTAGTACATACTACTCCGTACAAGTACTGACGGGCAGAAAAATAGACCGGCGTCGCCACCGCCTAGCGGTCTGCTTTTGTCTTCCTGTTCCCACCCACATCCATTAAATGGACTCAGTTAGTGAACCTTAGTTTTCATCAATTTAATCGCATATTTCATTGTTTTATAATTGCCTGAGAATACGTCCAAAAAAGAGCAGCAATTCTGAAGACTTATTAAGGGGTCAGAGGGAATCGCTCGACAGTACTTCGTACTTCCGGAATATATGTATCAGCTCGTTATCAACACGTGATATATCTTGATAAGATAGTAGGTTCCAAATGGACTCTGCCACGACTCCTCCATAGATTACTTCCATTTTACCTTGTAGTCGTCTAGCATCAGAATCAGGTAGAGTTCTGAGAAGGCGAAGTATGACTGTGGCGGAGGAGAGAGTTTATTGCCCAGGTAATAACATCCGTTACCTTAGTTTTTTGTAGGAAACAATGCCTAATTGTTTGCCAACATCTCCAGGCCCAGTGCCAGATTTATTGATAACAGCTCTTGCACGGAGGTCCCCGGAAAGCTTCGACAGCGATGTACCCCCGAACAAGCGTCGCAAGTTGACCCTGGGTGTCCAGAGCCTCGGAGAGCTAAATGGTCTTTCGGATACTCGAATACCTCGAGGGTACATTCCCTTGGCGCGCTTTCACTTGTACTTGGTATGCCACCAAACTAATGCGTGAAAGGCCTAGCTCGAATGATTCACTGACCTTAGTTAGGATTTCGCGTCCGCAAGCCCAATCCAAGATGACCCAGATATATCTTCTGATAGATTCTCCCTGTTACCAATCCATATTTCAGCCACAAAAGATGTTCGTGTCGGTGCGACTACGCCTGACTGGTTCAAGCTAAAGCTAGTAACGACGGTAGACCGAGAAACTGTCTTTGAATATGAATCGCATGGTCCGCCGTTTCTCGCATTTAGCAAGGATCTGGAGCTCGCCGGTAGTCTTGTTTGTGCTGATCGCCTTCCCAGAAAGATTCCCATCGTGTGCTATCAGTCCACTTTATACCCTGTTCCCGAAAGAAAAAGATCCTTTTGCCTCGAAACGGTTATCTTATGGAAGGATTCTTTGGATATTCTAGGTAACAATCAACTGGTCGATGGAGCACGGAAAGTATTTTCTAGATATGTATTTCAGGAGCAAGAGGACCTTGCTTCTCGGCAGGAGCGGCACAGTCGGAGACAGCTTGGATGGTCCCCCCGTGACTTTTATGATAACGTATACGTCCCTCCAGATACACCTGAATCATCAGCAGAGGTCAAGTGCAGTTTGATCAAATGTCAGCTGTTCCCATTCCAAAGGAGAGCCGTGAGGTGGCTATTGCAAAGAGAAGACGTGGAACTTCAGGCTGACGGGCAAGTGGTTCCTGTCAGAGATAGGTTGAAAGGGCGCTTGCCCACTTCATTTCGAGAATTCACTGATGCAGACGGACGAGTTTGCTTCGCCAGCCAATTGTTCATGATTGTCGCCACTGACCTTACGGAATGGTTTGATGGGAGCAACCATCTCAGAGGTGGAATCCTCGCCGAAGAAATGGGACTTGGGAAGACGGTTGAAATGATTAGTTTAATATGCCTTAATCGACGGCTTCTAGCCCCCGAAGAAACCTTCTCAAGCTACCACCCTGACAGCTTGAGGCCGTCAGGTGCAACCTTAATAATAACACCACCCGCAATTCTTGAACAGTGGGAACAGGAAATCAAAGTGCATGCACCTAGCCTCAGTGTCCTCCACTACACTGGTATCCAGCGTCACCAGTCAATGCCCGATGAAGAACTGATTGAGTTACTCGCAGACCAAGATGTTGTGCTTACTACTTATAATATCCTTGCGCGAGAAGTTCACTATTCCGGCGATGGACCGCAGAGGAATCTGCGGCATAAGAAAAGATATGAACCAAGGAGGACACCGTTGGTCCGGATTTCTTGGTGGCGAGTGTGTATCGATGAAGCTCAGATGATTGAAAGTGGCGTCAGCAATGCGGCAAGGGTTGCCCGTCTAATTCCTCGCCAAAATGCCTGGGCTGTGACAGGAACGCCGCTCCGAAAAGATATATCTGATCTCCTGGGTCTCTTGCTGTTCCTCCGCTACGAACCATTTTGTGGTGCTATCTGGCATAGGTTATGTGGGAATTTTAGGCCTGAATTGACGAACATTGTTCGTATGATTGCCCTCCGTCATAGTAAGGATCATGTTCGCAATGAACTTCACATCCCTTCTCAGAAGAGAATCGTCATCACGGTCCCTTTTACGGCAGTTGAGGAACAACGCTATGGACAGCTGTTTGAAGAAATGTGTGGAGCATGTGGCCTCGATTTATCTGGCGCTCCCTTAAATGGGGATTGGGACCCTGATGACCCATCGATAATCGAAAGAATGCGAAGTTGGTTAGTCAAACTTCGTCGAACTTGCCTACACCCTGCTGGCAAGCTTCGTCGTGGGCTAGGTACTGGCACTGGACCGCTGCGTTCCGTGGCTGAAGTTCTTGAGGTCATGATTGACCAGAATGACGCACTTATACATGCAGAGGAGCGCTCTTTGCTTCTTTCACAATTGCGCCGGGGGCAGTTACTGGAGAATGCGAAGCACCGGCAACAAGCACTTGATCTCTGGACAAAGTCATTAGAGCGGGCTAATGCAATCGTCAGGGAATGTCGAAATCGGTTGCACTTAGAGCGGATGGAGCGCCGGATGAGTGCGGATCGAGACGTAGCGTCTGCTGACACAACAAGCGAGGATGAAAATGAAGAAGTGGCTAAGAACACTCGGGCAGGAGCGCGTCAGAGGTTGCGTGCTGCTCTTGAAGTTCAACATATATGTGTTTTTTTTACCGGAAATGCTTATTTCCAGATCAAAACAGATCCCAAACTCACTAAGCCTGACTCCGAAGAGTTTAGAATCCTCGGGAAACGCGAAGTTGAGGCGTACGAGTCTGCGAAGTCGATTCGAAAGGAGATGTTGGCTGAGATCTCGCGAAAAGTTGGCCACTTCATGAAAACGATCAGGGAAAGAGCACAAGAGAATCAGTTTGTGAATATCCCTCAAATGAAGCCTCGGTTATGGGCCAAGGGGCTTGAATCCCGCCGCGTACTCGATAAACTTGAAGATTTCTGTGACACTATGAACAAACATGCTGTCAAGTACGATGAATGGCGTCAAACAATGATTAAGTTTCTTTCCCAGTCACTCATTGACCAAGAGGATGATTCAGATCTGGAAGGCGATGAATATGAAAAGTCTACGAAGCATCAAGATGAGATGTATGTTTACATGGAGGCCTTGCGTGCAATGTTCGCTGATCGCCACGATGCTTTGACTGGACAGAAAAATGTCCTCATTGCTCATGAAGTCAAGAGTGGAATTGTCCAAGCGCAGAAGGGAGAAGGACCTTCACCCACTCTCTTTCTGCAGATGATGAACACTCGTAGTAGTATCAAGCCCGACCCACAGCTGGGCTCACTTCGCGGTATCATCAGTGAGCTTCGAAGTCTTGTGACCTCTCTTGAGTGGCAGACGAGCGGGGGAAACACCCGCGCCCCCGCTGAGCTCGAACTTGTAACCTTGGTTCTTCAAAACGCGAGTCAGATGGCTTCTGAGCAAGCTAAAGTTGCAGCAAACATGGAGAAGGAGGTGGAGATGTTTCGAGATACTATGAACAATCGACTTGAATACTATCGTCAGCTTCAACAAATCTCCGATACAGTGGCTCCGTATGACGAAGAAAGCGCCGGTAAACCACTAGACGAGGCGCTTTTTTCTGCAAAGCTCAAGCAAGAGGAAACAATAGACGAAAAGATTTCTGCATTGAGAGCAAAGCATCGTTACCTAATCCATCTCCGAGACGAATCAGGCTCAGGCGACTCGTCAAAGATATGTGTCATTTGTCAATCCGGCTTTGAAGTTGGTGAGTACGGTGCTATAGTTGTAGACATGTTATAAGGGGCTGACAATATCTAGGTGTTCTAACAGTATGTGGCCACAAGTATTGCAAAGATTGCTTGCGCATATGGTGGCATCAACATCGGACTTGCCCGACATGCAAAAAACGCCTGAAAGCTAATGACTTCTATCAAATCACTTACAAGCCGCAGGAGTTTCTTGTGCAAGAGGAGAAGCCGCCAACTAAAGTTGAGCCTGAACGTCGACCGAAGAACTCAATATATGCTGATATAAGCTCCGGTACTCTCAGAGAAATTAAAACTGTCGATTTAGATGGTTCATTTGGCACGAAGATCGATACACTGGCACGTCATATATTATGGCTGCGCCACTATGACCCTGGTGCGAAGTCGGTGATATTCTCACAATATAAGGACTTTCTAGGGGTTCTAGCCATTGCTTTCCACAGATTTAAAATTGGTTTTAGCAGTGTTGACAGCAAAGACGGGATATCAAAGTTTAAGAGTGACCCATCGGTAAGCCTCTTGGCCCCATTCTTCCCCTGTTGCTCGTGGAATCGTCGTACTCAACTGTATCCCTACTAGGTTGAAAGTTTCTTCTTGCACGCGAGGGCCCATTCATCAGGGCTCAACCTAGTGAACGCGACCCACGTTTTCCTTTGCGAGCCCCTTATCAATACTGCAATCGAGCTCCAGGCTATCGCTCGTGTACACCGTATTGGTCAGCACCGACCGACCACCGTTTGGATGTATCTAGTTTCTGAAACCGTCGAGGAATCGATATACGAACTTTCCGTGTCACGTCGCCTAGCTCATATAATACAGAAGGATAAAGCAGAGCCATTATCTGAATATGTCGAAAATGGAAGAGCTGTGTCACATAATATTACGGAGGCGACTATAGACTCTGCAAACTCCTTAGAAATCCGAGATGCAGCTCTGTCGAATTTAATGGCTGGAGGGGCATTTGGCGGTGAACTTGTTAGAAAGGACGACTTATGGCGGTGCCTTTTTGGCAACCCAACAGAGAAGGAAGCCAATAATTTCCAGACCAGTGCCGACGGAGAGGTAGCAAGGTTCCTAAGAGGTGAGGCAGCAGAGCAGCGGAGAAGAGTTGGAGCCGGTTCTTGATTATTGTTAGGGGCGATGTACAATGTATTAGTATGTCTGAGTAATAAACTATATATAGCATATATATTAATCTATATGTACGTATGTACATATACAAACTCGCAAGTCTCGAACAAAACACTCTTAATTGAATTTAGCGGTCATAGTTAACTACTAACAGCCTCTCTGGCTGATCAGTGAATGAATCCAATAATTGACTAGTTAATGAACTAACTACTAGCGGTTAGTTAGTTGGTTACAATATATGATGACTAATCTTGATAGTTCCTAATTTGGAAAGGAGCTTAATGCTGGCCTCAGGATTGTCACTGACGTGAGCGTCTCTGCCTGGGAGAGGCGTGTGGGGTACTGCCAGTGACTATCACAAGTTCACCTCTCTCTTATATCCACTACCGGGACGGCCTTGTGTCTGTCGTTCTCATCGAAAAATTCATTTTTGCCATGGCTTCACAATCCACGTCAGCAAGTTCTGAGGCTCGCGAGCTGAATTTAGTATCCAACGTCGAATTCAGAATCGCGTTAGCAGATACAGATGAGAAACTTGATGCTTTACTCAATAAATATCTGGCTCCTTTACTGCTAAAGTTAGGCTCCGAGAGTCTTGCAGTTCGCAACAAAGTAATTGCAGTGTGTCAGCATATCAACAACAGAGTGCAAGCTCCGTCTATTAAGCTTCCAGTTGCAGCTTTGCTGAAGCAATTTAAGGAACAGAAGTCCAAGCTCGTTAGACACTTCGACTTAATCTATATCCAACAAGGGATTGATCGCTTGGGAGCCAATGCAAGGATTGAGATCCTGCTTCCATTGCTCCAAGGGATTTCCGAAATTGGAATATCGACCGACGACCAAGCGGCTGTTGTGTTTAACCTTGTCTTACGGCTCTTACCTCTCCTGAAGCTTCCGCCAAAGGACAGCACCGAAGACATACAACTTAAATCTCGACTAGGCCTATCCGACAAAGATACTAAGTTCTTGTCCTCATGGTTTGAAAAATTATTAATTCTCTTCCCTGCGGATAAGAACGCCTCCACTTGTCCAGGTTTATCCCCAGCAGATTACGCATTCCTCAACAAGGGTGCTTCCGTATCCGAAACATGGAACTCGTCTTCACATGGGGGGTTGAATCTTACCGAGACTAAAGCTACGGCTCTAAGGTTTCTCGGTAGCAGAGCCTTCACAGACTCAGAGCGCTTTTTCCCCGCTCTGGTGGCATCTGCGGACCCAAATTCCCGGCTGGCTGATCTTGGCGAGGAAATATTGAGGCGCTTCGAACCGGCTCTTGAAGATGCAGATGTTGTAAATCGGCTGTTTACCTTGTACTTCGGTTCTGTGAAACCTGATGGTGCGACCCCGGCGCGCACTGCGCTACGAATCAAGATTCTAGTTCACTTGGGAAAATCACTCAAGGCTACGACGGAGACAGCTGATATCCTCAGGCTGATTGAAGAGGGTCTTCTCTCGGACGTTGCAAGATCTTCACAAGGATTGCAGGCTTCGAAGTTGCGAACGCAGATCTTCACTTTTACCACGTGGGTAGTTCGCATCGGATCCCCCACGGACCTCAGGCAAATCGCGCCGAAGGTTATAGCGGGTCTTAGAGACTTTATTCATTCTCAGGGGTGGCCGAGTCCAGGGTCCAGTGGACAGAGACTGCCTGCAACGGACCTAAGCTTGCGAGGTCTTGCTTACGAGAGCATCGGTATATTGGTACCGAAGGTAGATTTTCAAGCACAAGAGGAGAAAAATGCTATCTCGGGTTTCGAACTCATTAGATGGCTATTCATATCATTAAGCTCTGACGATTCTAGCGCACAAATCTTTGTGAGTATCGAACAAGCACTAGGAAGCATTCTTAACTCCTCGGTGGATAGCTGGGATAAAAAGTTTCAAGAAAGTTTGCGACCTTTTTTGCTTCGTCAGATGAACAACCCCGCGGGGCAAGAAGACTCTGTAACTGGGTTTAAGATCGTTCGTCGAACTCAGTATGCTGCTGTACGTTTCTCCAATAGGTTCTTGCCATATAGCGATGTCGTGGCTCGCTGGATCGACCTCATGGCTGTGGCATGTGGGTCTGAAAGACATCAGGAAGTCGTAGAAGAAGGCAAGAAAGGGCTGCACCCTTATTGGTACCGTCTTCTAAACCCAACTAAAGACAAGGTATGGTTTACATCAGTGACAGCTAACTCACGCTCGTCATGGTTTAAATTTCCGAGTTTTTCAGAGGCAGCACGCTTTCTCCTGGGTTCGACTGCATCCACTGTTGTGCCAGGTCTTTCCGCACCAGAGATATTGTCAGGTCCCTATAAGGAGGCCTTCAACTACACAATCACTTTTCTTCGCAACATATTGCTTTGGGAGTCATTCTCGGGTTCGAATATAAGCATGGAAATAGAGCAAGACTGGGAGATCAAATTGGACATGCTTCTTACATCCGATGAACAAGCGCGGTCCGCTGTGAAACGCTACATCGAAAACTCCGACAAAGAAGCTGTACTGCTATTTCTGACAAGTTCTCTCTCTGGCCTTAGCGGCGGAGCTCAAAAAGGTCTGTTGCAGTGCGGAGAAGACTTCATCGGTATTTGCTCCTTAGCTTCGAACGACATCGTTGAGCCCATGGTATCGAAGGTTGCCACGTTGAAAAATTCCCTCTACAGTAATGATCAAGAACTTCAGAACCTGGCAGCACGCGCACTTGGAATTCTCGCCTCTCACCCTGCATTTTCGGAAAATAAACTGAGGGAACTCCTTTCAGATCTCTCAGTTCCCATGGGGAGTTGGAAATCTGCCATTGGTGAAGTTGTGCTTAGAGTCCGGGGAGCAGTCCTTGCGCTAGCGTATATCTTAAGCCGACTGGCATTCCGCAACTCTATATACAAAGCACCTGAAACGACTGTCAACCTATTCATTAGCACAGTTTTCGATATCATTAGGGACGCACGCGATTCTTTGCTTCGACAGTCCGCACATGTGGCCATCGGGCAGCTGAGTCTTTCCGGAGTTTTGTCTACGACAGTACTTTCAAACGATGAGTGGGAGATTATCAATGATAAGTTAAAGCCGGACGCAAAGGCCGAGAGTGAAATAGCGATCACAGCAATGGGCCTCCTACATTTATCATTTTCAAAGGCCGACCATAAAGGCCCGCAGTTTACTAACTTCTTGAACTCCTTGTACGACCTACATGAAATCCGTAGCCCAGAAACACATTTCACTGTCGGTGAGGCTTTGAGTGGCGCTGCAGCGGGATGGACCTCTAAATCTATGGCCACGGAATTTGACGTCGATGAAAAGCTCCCCACATGGCAACTCTCTGATACGGTATTTGCTGAAATGTGCGACAAGATCATTACTGATTGCGGCGCATCAAAGCCTTCACTGAGGAAAGCGTCTTCCATATGGTTACTATGCCTGGTGAAGAATTGTGGTCACCTACAACAAATGCAGACCCGCCTGCGTAAATGTCAAAGGACATTCACGCGTTTGCTCGCGGATAGAGATGAAGTGGTGCAAGAGACCGGGGCCCAAGGTCTAAGCCTTGTGTACGATATCGGTGACCAGACGCTAAAGGACGACTTGGTACGTGACTTGGTGGACTCTTTTACGGCAGCTGGCTCCAATCTTGGGGGAGGTAAAGTCAACGAAGACACCGAACTATTTGAGCCAGGTGCTCTACCAACTGGAGGAGGGTCATCAGTCAATACATACAAAGATATTATGAACCTAGCCTCTGAGGCTGGCGACCCCACACTTGTGTATCGATTCATGTCCCTGGCTTCGAATAATGCCCTTTGGACCAATCGTGCAGCATTTAGCAAGCTGGGTATTAGCACTATATTCTCCGATTCAAGCGCCAATGGTTACCTGGCCAAGAACCCCAAAATTTACCCGAAATTATTTCGCTACCGATTTGATCCGAATCCAAATGTACAGCGGTCCATGAACACAATATGGCAGGCGCTGGTCAAGGACCCTGCTGCAATCGTCAGTGATCATTTTGATGAAATTATGGACGATTTGCTGAAAAGTATGCTGATCGGTCGGGAGTGGCGCGTTCGACAGGCAAGTTGTGCTGCTATTGCGGATTTAATTCAAGGGCGACAACCAGAGAAGTACTCTAATTATATGGAGGAAATCTTTCTAAAAGCGTTCAAGCTTGTAGATGACATCAAGGAGTCAGTTCGATCGGCTGCTCTGAAGCTTTGCCAGACAATAACTAACGCAGTGATCCGTACTCTGGAAACAAGTTATGCCGAGACAAGGCGAGCAGACACGATGCTAGCAGGCACTATCCCCTTTTTATTGAGTGACAAGGGTATGGAATCTGATATTCAAGAGGTTCAAGGATTTGCTATTGGAGCTTTAATCCAGATAATAAAGAAAAGTCCCGGTCAGCTGTTGCGCCCATTTGTTCCCAGCGTGATGGAACAATTCTTGAACTCTCTAAGTTCACTAGAGCCACAAGCAGTCAACTATGTCCATCTCAATGCAGATAAGTATGGGTTAACGGGCCAAGAGATCGACAAAATGAGGCTATCCAGCATACGCACGTCTCCAATGATGGAAGTCATTGAGCGATATCTGATAGATATGCTCGACGAAACTAGCATGAAGGAATTCGCTGACAGTCTGGAACGCGTGCTTCGCTCTGCAGTTGGGCTTCCAACGAAAGTGGGCTGCAGTCGTGTACTAGTTCTCTTGAGTATGAGAACAGTCCTATTTCGCCCTTATGCGGATCGTTTCATCAAGCTTCTTGTAAAATACGTCGTTGACCGCAATGACACGGTCAGTGCGTCTTATTGTACATCAATAGGCTACCTCATGCGACTAGCTTCAGATGACCGAGTGCTAAAAACAATTGAACATGCGAAAACTCTATATCTGACTGCGGAAGACACAAGCCAGCGAATCATCGCAGCGGAAATTTTACACTCCACGTCTAAGTTGTCCAACGACCGATTCATGGCATTTGCTGCGACTGCCTTGCCTTTCATATTTGTTTCCAGGTACGATACTGATGAGCATGTTCAGGAAGCATTTGAGAAGACATGGCAGGACAATGTGGGCGGTAATCGTGCGGTATCGTTATATATAAAAGAAATTACCAGCCTTGTTTCAGACAATCTCGATTCTCCTCGCTGGATCATTAAGCATACTGCAGCATTGGGGTTTGCGAATGGCATCATGGCACTTGATTCCGAGCTGGATCTTGCTACTAGCGAGTACCTATGGCCTGTTCTGGAGAAATCATTGGCTGGGAAAACATGGGATGGTAAAGAAGTTGTTGTGAAAGCTTTTGTGAAATTCACCAGCCAAGCAAAGAATCTATGGCTACAGAAGCCTCGAGTTGGTGATACAATGAAGGTAAATACTTTCTACGTTTCTCGTTCCCCCATGTTTCAAAAGTATTTGACCTGATTTGCTTACCAACCTCTCAGGCAATCGCAATCAGGGAGGCTAAACGGATTAACCCAACATATCGCCCACATGCTATCACTGCTTTTGGTGGGATTGCTCAAGCGCGCCAAGACCTCAATTTGATGTCAGACGCCGTTGATATTGTTTCTCGGGTACTCAGTGAATTTGACGAGGGAGAGGACTCAATGGACATCGACTCGGGCAGCGGTCAAAAGAACAAGTACTATCTTGACACCCATTTATCCGTCAATAACTAACCACCAATAGACAAACCAGAGAGGATACTTTGGTGGCTTGTGTCAGATGCCTCTTGCAATGTATCAATATAACATGCGCGGCATCGGCTGAGGGTAAGTCAACTCTCCCTCGCTTTGCCGTTATATAGGTTTTGCTGACTATATACACAGCTACCAACAGCTATGTGTCAGAAGTAAAGCGGCTTCTGCATGAAGCATCGGATAATGGAGGCAGAACCGTGCAGATTGCGCTGTACGAGGAACTTCGCATGTTTTTCAGTAGAGCAGCAACAGGGGCTCTAGAAGCACAAAGCAAGGAACCTAAGCTGGGCGAACTGCAAAAGTCTTTGGCGACCCTGGCAGGCGAAATGTTGTCTCGTCAGATAGATGTGACTGCCGAAGCAATCCGAAGAGAACGTGCGCAGGCCGCAATGTCATTCATTACGCTCTTCAAACAACTTGATATTGGGCTTGATATCGGTGGGGAACTGTGCGGGCTACTGAAGACCTGGAGGGAGGGCGAAAGATCCGGGCCGGTGCAGCAAGTCCTAGACCAAGCCTTGGCAAGACTCATGCAATGAAGCATGAGTTGTCCACATCGCAACGAGCACGGGTAGCAGCTAGAGTCTATCGGAAGTATCCGAAAGGGCCGCAATATTATTCAACTAGTAAGCGTCAGCCTATCAGAGGAACTTAAAAGTGACCGACAGAACCTAAGGGCCGCATAAGGTTACCGGCATCGAGTTCCTTCGCTCGATGATGATGAGATGCCCAAAATATTGTCCCATAGACAGAATCAAGATCCTTCATGAAACAAACATGCACCCATGAGTGAATAGTTCGGTTGAGCCTGCCTGCCAATCATACACGGGAATGAGCTATTGGCTCCTGTTGGTTTAGAAGTGGATTTTATATTTTAGGTCCACTAGTAGAAGGGCATACAAATTGAAAACTGGATCCGCTTGGAGAGGAAGATCCAGACCGGCCCAGGCGCGTGTGTCTGAGGGCCTGGGGATCCCGCAACCTATGGGGTTTACTTCTGAGTGGCCAGTGATATCCATGTCATGGTGCCTGTACCATTAGCGTAGTCTATTAGTACCTGCGGGTCAGCATGAAGTAGTAGTATTATCTACTACTAGTACTAGGGCTAGACCCCCACCACCACGGCGTACAGACCCTAGTAAGGTAGAAAATTTAGGAAAGGATCCAACACGCTCAGAAGAAATAGATTATGGAGGAAGAAAAAAGAGAGCATTATATGGGGAATAGGCTGAAGGAATGACAGGTATTAACTAAAGCAGTTGCATAGTTTGATGGTAAAGAAATCTTCCCAATTTGCGGTGGCTGCTCTGAGAGAAACTGACTGGATACCTGATAAAGTTCCGCCGGAGGGGAACTGTCATGTCATGAAAGACTAAAACCTACCCAACTGCCGGTCCATTACCAGCTGCTAATTTAGTCTTAGTAAGGTGGGAGACATGCTGACTTCTGTGAATCGCTTTTCTGTACGGTATTGGGTCAGATGACATTGGTCCCGGGCTGACTTTTGGTTCATTCGAAGCATCATCTTGGTCAATGTTGACTTCCTGGGTGGAAAAAAGAGACCCACTCAGAAAATATATATCTCTCTTAAAATAAAAGAAAATAAAGGATACAAATGAAGGGAAAGAAGAAACCGAAAAGAAAAGACACTGGGTCATCATCCGACCCGCAAGAATCTTCACCCATCCACATGGTTGGCAGCACCGTTCGGAATGCGCCATTCGTCCTGCTTGCTCTCTCGCGCTAATGTAGATGCTGACTAGGGTACCAAAACTGAACTCTTTCGTCCAATCCTTCGCCCTCTAGAGGGGCAAACAAACATTGGGCTGTCCAGATGGGAGTTGCCAACGACCTTTTCCGATTTGCCTCTCAATTGAGGCCGTAAGGTACCTGAAGACCGCCACCACTACAAGGCTGGCTGATGCAGGAGGCTTCCTGGGTCTTGTCTAATGTTCGAAGCCTAAGCTCGTCTTGCAATCAAAATCCGTGCTATGGCTGCTGTTTTTCTTTCCTTCTTCTTCTTCTCCTCCTCCTCCTCCTTCTTCTTCTCTTCACTCTACCTCTGATCAAAGGTCAAAAATGTAGGTATCATACATAGTCTGATCTTGGTCTACCTGGCATTGTATTCTAGCTTCATCGGTATATTATTCTACTGATACCGTCTCTTCGTGCTATCCTTGGCCTGGGCTTTGCATAGATAAAACGTGGGTTTACCAGAAGTATCCGTCACAGAGTTTGACGCATAAGTCTCAGATGGCTCCCCTATTTCTGTACGAGTTGGGAGCTGACTCTCAACGATGAAAAGTCGGATTGTCATGATGACCGTCATAAGTTTAGTCCGGTCGAACAAACGGGGCAAGATATCGAGGAAACGCACTCTGTGGCTACCCATCATTGCTCCCAAAGGTACAACTTCGAGCCCCGGTGTCAATCCTGTTGTACCTGTAAAGACTTCGATTTTGCGCTCTCATGGACGGTTTCCACCGAGATCTCGGACAGGTTGCTGGTACGTTCGTTGCACTAAGATTCTAATGGTTTTGTAGGAAAGTTCGGCTCATTTCACTTCTAGGACGTGTAGAGTGCGCCGATACCCCCCATCGCCATAATCCTTTTCATATATACAATGGGCGCTGGCCTAGTATGCTAACTTGTCTTATGTGGATGTAACAGAGCCGTAAAGGTGAGATGATCCTTGAATACTACTCTAACAGAAGAATTCTATGAATGCTTGTAGTAACTCAATGGACGTACAGTCAAATGTGACGAGAAACATCCCCGATGTAATGTACTAAAAAAACCCTTTCCTTGGGCGACAGGCACAGGCTGATTTGATCAAGCAATGTATCAGGTTGGGTCATAATTGTGACTACCGGCCACGCTTATCCTTTAGAGACGACACCCGTCGGGTAATTGAACGGATGTCAGATGTGGAGACAGTTGGCAATCTTGTTTGGGACCGTGAGGCCGTCTTCCATTTTCTTCTTGCCTAATGTTACGTACAATACGCTAACTCAGGTACTACCAACAGCTCATGTGTGTAAAAATGTCAGGCCTCCTTCTGCGGACTACGGATTACCAGACCTGCTGCCTTCCTTCGCGACACTCACCTCTGACGAGGAACGGGAAAGGAAAGCTCAGTCATCTATTCCCGGCACTTATACTGTTATAATCATGCCGGAGAGCTTTTCCTATAGTCCTGGACATGTCGATGAAAGATCTGGGGAGCAATACAGGGGCTCAACACCAAGTTCCTCAGTAGATAGTGGGCGAAGTAGCCAGCGGAATGATAATCCAGAAGTGAACGATCCAAATATCGTCATACTCAAGACATTTCCCGACGCTAGGAGATACTTATGTCCATACCGCAGAGGTTCCACTCAAACGCTAGAGTCTTGCCCTCAAGACTCCTCATATTCACCCACGGTCTCGGTATATTCAGCTGATTCGAGCACCCTAGATAATTTTATTACGCAGGAGCAAACCAAGCTGATAGATTATGAGGCGATACTACTATCTCATCTTCGCAATGTGGTATGGCCCAAACTGGTCCCCCAGGGAATCTGGTCAGATGGTTCAGACGGCCATAGACTGGGTGTCGAAGTTTTGGAACAAGAAGCTGCTATCTGCCCACCTGTATGCCGCGTTTATCCAGTTATCCTATTCTATGAATAATGACTAACCACTCTACATAAAGCTTTTTCAGGCAATGATGGCAATATCTAAGCTCGGTCTAGACCGTCAAGGGAACAGTGTAGACATGAACGTCATGAATCCCCACCAGCGAGATTTCCCACTTCCACAGAACATCCTCCATCACAACGACAATCTTCTATCTGACGGGCTTTTTCTTACGCAATTTCTACTGCTCATACACGAGGTAGTTCTCTTGTAACCCCTGTATTTGAGATCTCAGGTACAAAAAGGCTGACATCTAATTTTTAAAGGCCATGGCTGCCAAGCCAGATGGGCCGAGCCTCTGGCCTTACCATATATCCCAAATGCTCGAGATTACGTTCATGAGGCAATCGGCCTTTGGAGTGGAGCGATTTCCGTTCGTCATCTGGTGGATCTGTACCATTGATTTTTATGCCCTTCTCAGCGGCGCAGGCACAGGAGATTATGTCAAAACGGTTTTAGAAAGCGGCCTGCTCCCCTGGCCCGAGTCTCTTCTTTCCTCTATCGGCTCTAGTGGATCCGATGCCATCGATTCGCGTGGGCCTGACAATCTAACATTACTGTTGCAGCTGTACAAAGACATGTTCGGGCTAGCTGTCCAGTTAGGGCTAGCTATTACAGACATGAAAAAGCTGGGCGTATCTTATTCATACCCCCTAATCACTCTACAACAACGGTGTTTCGATCTACACGAAGACTTCAGGAGACTTTGGGACTCTTCGGATATTCGCTGCTGGGCCGAGAATCAAACGAGGCTACCAAAACAACTACAAAGTATTTGGGAGCAGGTTGGTCAAATTTTTCGTTATGCTATCTCTCAGTTTTCAACGCTAAGGCCAGTTCATCAGATTAATGTACTCTTCCATACTTCACTTCTCTTTTACTACACTAGCACGTTTCCTGAGCAATGCATTGTCATGGGCGAAAGACCCGAGCAGAAAGTGTATCACCATACGACAATGATCTTACAACATACAGAGGCGACGATCGTGGATATCCAAGGCACTCCTCCGCACTTCATCGTCTTCCCCTTGTTCCTGGCGGGAATTGCGGCGGAAACGATCGATCTCAAAGTCAAGGCATGGGAGCTGCTCTCAAATCTAGAGAAAAATGAGATAGGATATAATGCGTCTACGACGTGCTACATGCTCCAACTCGTGTATGAGTACCAGATGCAGCGGTCTAGTAATAGTGGCAGACCATTCCCGTGGATTGACTGGGTTGAACTCTTGGCTGAACGTGGCTTTCGGTTAGTCAGTTACGGATGAGAAGGGTGACTGGGAACGGTTTTTATTTTTATTATTATTATTATTCCAATATTTTTGACTCTTAATATATTTATCATGCTTATACATGTATTCATCCTTCTAATCTTTGATGTCTATGGGAACGCCGGCATTCTGGAATGGCCGCAGTTTCAACCTGAGGCAAGCATGCGGTGAACCATGGATTTCCAGATTTAAAATCGGCTGCGGGCCGATCCTATATAAAACATACTACCTAATGGGTCTATGACAGTATAATTAGAAAGGTCTGCAAGAACATACATCTGTTCTGGCAACAAGGAATTATGCAATGCTATTTGTTCTCAAAAGCCCCTCCACAAGTGGCGCTCCAGTCTGACTGAGCCAATGATGATCGCTAAGCGTCTACACCAGAAACCCCTCGGCGGCTAAACCATGACCTGGGACTCTGGGAGGTGATCGCCGAAGCATTTGGAACGAAGCTGCCTATTTTCCACGAGAGTATACTTCATTTTATTTATTCACGCTTGTCGCCCCTTTCCTGTCCTCGTCGGCTGAGGGCCTGGGTGAAAGTGACAACGACTATCACTTAGGGTTCTCCAAACCGGTAGGTGTTGCTGCCCCCCGCATCTCTATGGGGCGTCTTTTCTTTTCCTAAACGCCCCCCGCTCTCGTTACCTCAATCACATTGACCCATGATTGGCAACATAATTGACTTAATATAGGTTATTCTTGCCCGGGTCATGATGAATCCCAGCAGGGGCCTTCAAGGCAATTACTCCGACGAGGAACTGTTTATCCATACTCCAGGGCGATCGCCGGTCGAGTCCCCCGTTGTTGGACCACTGCGGATTAGCAAGAGAGACACACCATCACCTGCGCCACAAGGCGCTCCCCTTCCGTACCCTGACGACCGGCCAAATCCCCAGAAAATGCGCAGCTCAAGTACGAGTCATTCAAGTCCGACGGTTGATGGTGGACGCACAGGCGGCTCACCCACGAGTGCAGATAACATGTCTTTCATGCCTGTTGCTAACACTGGTCCATCCAGGTCGGACTATCCGGCGGCTTTACGGCCGCGGGATGGTCGCGAGCCTAAGCCTGCGACTTTGGCAGAACGACGAGGCAATGTCCCAAAGCCCCTGCCTGAGTCTCCCGCCGGTGATACGCCGGACAAAGAGGGGCTGTTTGTAACGAGATATCAGCGAACTCCTGCTCCATCGGCACTTTCCAACGGGACCCAGCTTGATGGGACTGCTCACCCGAACTACCGTCAGCAGTACTACCCACCTCCTCAGGCCGCAACCTCGTCAGAACCTTCCGCGAGGCCGCCGACAGCACAAAGCCTACAGACTCCTAGCAGTGCAATTAATCGCATTAGCTCAACAGCATCGACGTCGACAACTCGCGCCCAGCGGGGTTCCCCCCCACCTCCAGAAACCCCAATTGTTGAGCCGGGCCAACAGAGAGCATCGGACATCGAGGCACGCTATGCGGCTTCGGGAATTGCAGGCACTTCAGCTCTAGCAGGCTTGCAAGCCCAAAGCTCTGCGGCACAAAGAAGAGCCGAGCAGTATGTGGGTCAACAACCAACGAGTCAGCCGCCCGTCCAGAGGCCATGGACACCAACGGAGCAGCCAGGGAGCCAACCTCATGGGCCTCCCACAGTATATCAAGGCGCTGAAGTTGTATCTACGGAGAACCTCCCTGGAAATCCTTTCTCATCCCAATCTGTAGCAAACTCAGGGCAGGCAGTGCAAGTTCTGCATCATCCAAGGATCCCGTCAAATGCTCTGGAACAGGACCTAGAAAGGATGCGCATAAGCTCTTCACCTCCTCCTGCATACTCCAGCGTATCTGGTCCGACCGCGTCCCAAGGTTACCCAAATGAAAAGCAGCGCGCTCAGACAACGCCAGGTTATCAGACTTCATCAGCGGTGCATCCCGCCACAATGGCGCCCATCAATGCAGCCACAAATTCTGCGGTACTCGAAGTTTCGGCTCAGGATCATCCGGCGTTTGCAAATGACCCAAGGCAAGAACAACCATTAGAACAATCCCTACAAAATGGCACGCAAACCGGCGTCCTGGATGGGCAGCAACAGACAGTTCAAGAGACTCAAGCTACAGTGTTACCTACCTCTTCGGGAATCCCACCAGCCTCTCCTCCTCCACTCCCCGAAGGATGGATTGCTCATATGGACCCCAACTCAGGCCAGTACTACTACATTCACCTCCCAACTCAGTCGACTCAGTGGGAATTCCCGAAGGGGCCCACACCATTGAACCTCAACGAAACTCCTTTGTCACCGGTGGGAAGCATATATAGCAGCCATCCTCTCGCTTCCCCGGGTTTGTCGGCCTTTGGTAAACCATTGGCGTCCCCTGGGATTCCTCTGACTCCAGGTTATGAGAGTCTACAGTCACCAGTTGTTGCAGGGTTTACTGGTCCTCCACCAAATAGTGGGGTGGATTTATACAAAATTGCACCAACGAATGGTGTTTACTTTGGGCCATACCTTCGCTATGTCAATATGAATCTGGAGCACAGTATTTGGCTAGGTTCCATTCTACTTGTTACCGACGCTGCGCAGCCTCCGACGATTCATATCCATCAGAGCGTTGATTTGTCACCGAACCCGCGTCAATTGAAGGCATCCGCTATCGCCGTTCATCAAAGGTGGACGTTCTACAAGTACGACGTTGACTTGCAAATGGAAGAATCTGGCCCCGCAAAATGGACCTACGCAATCACGTCACATCTGGGCTGCACGCGCTACGAGTTCTTGGTCGCTGGCCGACATGAAACGAATTGGCGGTTTATCACAACTTCGGGGAATGACTTTTCCCTCAACGTGAATGCTAATGAGCGGTCTCGTCTTGGGGGTGTGAGTTTTATGTGGAAGGACATCATGCAAAAGCACAATGAAATCGGGGGGTTCCACACTCAGCTGTGTCTGGGTGGACAGATCTATGCGGATAGAATGTGGAAGGAGATCCCTTCGCTCAAACAGTGGCTTGCAATTCGCGGCAAAGAGGCTCGAAAAAGCATGCCTTGGACTGCTGCACATGAGGAAGACGTCTCTCGTGCATACTTCCATTACTACACTAGCCACTTCGATCAGCCTCACCTGCGAGAATCCTTCGCCCAGATTCCTTATGTTTGTCAAATTGATGACCATGACATGTGAGTAACCGTCTATCCTGGATAATACTGTATGCTCGGCTGACGTTCGGTAGATTTGACGGTTACGGGTCGTACCCTGAACATATGCAGTTCTCGAATATGTTCAAAAACATTGGACGCGTTGGGACTGAGATGTATCTGCTTTTCCAGCACCATACGACACTTGAATTGCTTCGCAATGCCAGCACTGACATGGACTTATTCACCATTACTGGCACCGGCTGGCATTTTGTTAAGTTCCTTGGGCCGGCCGTGGTTGTCGTTGGCCTTGATTGTCGGTCGGAGCGCAACCCACACCAAGTTGTCGCTGGACCTACATATCAAGGTATTTTCCCCAAAGTCGCAATGCTACCGCCATCTGTACAGCACTGTTTGTGGATGATCTCCGTGCCAGTCATTTACCCACGCTTGGAGACTGCGGAACATATTGCAAACACTGTTGCTTCGGGTAAAAGAGCGGTTACGGGTGCATACAATGTCCTTGGCAAAGTTACGAGCTCTGTGGCGGGTGTGGTTGGCGCAAAGGAAATGGTAGGTTCTGGATTCGATTCTGTTAAGCGTGCTGTAGGCAAGTCTGGCCTTATGGGAGGCATATTAAGCCCGTTCGGAGAATTCGACCTGATGGACGAGCTCCGAGATCAGTGGACTCATGAATCCAAGGTGCGTTTGATGTTCTCTGATCCCCGCTCCTTTTTCGGCCCTAATAGTTCTATGTATATGTAGGATCTTGAGCGAACGTACTTCATTCGCACTCTCCAGGGTATTGCACATCAGAAGTTTCTCCGTATGACTTTTCTTTCCGGATCTGTCAACGTGTGCGGTGCAGGATTGGTTCACGATCCAGCCCATCCTTCTGACTACAGGACCATGTATCAAATCATATCGTCCGCTGTTGTGAACAATCCTCCACCTTCATATGTCATCAAGCTCCTTCACAGCAGCAACAAGCCGCTCTATGTTCCGGCTAATGGACATCGTTCCTCTCCTTCGCAGCCTACTGATACAAAGGAGGACATGATGGAAATATTCCAGACCGACGTCACAGGACAAGCTCGTGAACACCGTAAGCTGATGGGTCGCCGGAATTACGCTGCTATCGTAGCATATGATCCTGAAACGGTCAATGCGATGTATGGCCAAGCACCTGCGGGCCATGGAGACAGGCTGAATCTTGCCGTGGATTTTATGGTCCAGGGCGATGGATCCTATGGGGCGGTTGTCAAATATGGGCCGGTCATTATCCCAAGCTTAGGACATGTGAAGTGAAGTGTATTTCAGTGAAAACAAGGGTATTGTATTATCTCTGCTTCCCCGTCTACCTTGCCATTATAAGTCACAGTTTGTTGTATGCCCCCTTCGGGCCTGCTTCTCTTATTGCTTACTGCTTACTGGACATGATTCTATGACATATCCTAGATTTATCATTGAAGCTATCATACCTATATTTCACGTATTCATAGTACTGTTTAAGTTCGAATTTTGTGTTTGTGATAGCTCGTTCTGTGAATACCCAGTCTTTGCCGTCAGCATTTGCTTAATTATCAATCAGCTAGCTGTCTTGATCAGGAACACACTAGAATTAATCCTATGATAGTAATTCAAGGCATGCAGTGCAAGCTAACTGTAGGAATCATATTCTCTACATGCTATATACAACACCCTTGTGTCTCTGTCCAAAGCTTAGGGTCATCAACTCTATCTCTCGGTCGGTGGACCAGCAATAAGAAATAAGACAAACAAAGGCTAGAAAGGCGCTTAGTCTCTATCACCCCTTGATTGCATATTAACCAATAATTTATCCCAGGTTTAGAACACCTAGGAATAATGATTTGTTTCTTTGCCTGTTGGATCACCGCCAGGAACGCAGAGACCTACCCGCCAGAAGTAGTCTCGGTGAGCAAAGAATAGCTCCCAGAGTCGGTATCTGGAAGGAATAAGATTCCACGGCAGACGAAGCGGTATCTGTTGCCTTTCAGCGTCGCTTTGGGAGCCCATCGCTGATGGAGATCTGTCGCTATCAGACAAAACCACCTGGTCTGTCAGGTCCGTCACTCTATGGCGCCACTCGTGCTTCGCTGCACCCAACTTGATCTCGTGAAGTATGGCTCTCAGGTTACTTTGCTCCCCGGTGATACAGTGCGCATCTTTATTCCCATCACAAAATATAACGTCGGATTCGGAGGGCGGGAGAACAGCTTTTGAGATGAATATTTCTCCTGCGTGCATCTCATATCCCCATTCTTCTAGTGGCAGGAGAGGCACAGGGTCATCCACGTGAGTTACCCTCCGGAATTGCCATTGTTGAGCATCACCCTCAGGTGAAGCCGTCCCGAGCTTGAACGCCTCATTAAGAAAATTAACAAATTCCTTGTTTCCGATTTTAGGCTCTCCAAACGTTGTCACCTGCGGCTCCCAGTCTCGCATTTGCATCTCAAGCCCAGCCAGCGCAGCAACTGCCCCACCAAGCGAGTGACCGACAAGCACTACTTTGTAGTCACGATACTGTTTCCTTGCTGCTGAAACATGCTTGAGGATGATCGGGCGAGTGTTCAGCCACGCGGCCAGGAATCCCGCGTGGACTGTGCAATTACGACATCGTAACAATTCCTTATCCTCCCGGCCATTAGGGTTATATGGTACGTACGCTTGTGGGTAGGCTGAAAGGTCGATTATAGCGTCTGTTATTGAATAGGTGCCACGGAAAGCAACAATTATGCGCTTTGCATGTGGGAAATGGGACAATGCGATGTAGCCACACGAATCCGAGAGGAAGGTACCGGTGCTCCACGTCTAGACAGCTTTAATGATTTGTTGTGCCGCGATGTCAGAGAAGAGTCGAGGCCTTAAAAAAAAAACAAAAAAAAAACAAAAAACTCACGGTGATTAACTCAAAGCCTGGAAATTCATCACACCGACTCAAACACCGGAACGGTTTCTGTACTCCTGTACTGCCGACACAGTACGAGACGTCAACAATGCGCGATAATTCTTCCAAAGAGGCAAAGGTTTCGTGCGAGACTGTGTTGTCTGTTCTGTCGCTTTGGCCATATGTAGAGGCTCTGCTTGTTCTAGGGGAAATCAGTCTAGCAGTTGAGCACGTTCCGTATAGTAGGATAGATAGGACAGTAAGGGTCACTGTAAAAATTTCATCAAATTTCATCATCGTCATAAAGGGCCGCTCTGTCTTCAGACCTCATGGTTGTTATCATTGTTTGTCAGGAGACCGTAGTAAGGGCACCAATTCTGTCTGGAGATATGCGGCTCGTGACCTATAATCAAAATGACGTCGAGAATCTGGGGAAGTCTATGCCTATCAGAGACTAGCGGGAACCTGTATGAAAGGTTCTATTGTATTGCACAGGTATTGGCCAGTAAGCGCATCTGTGTCATCTGTTACATTCTACTGAAGTTATGTGCAACATCTCTGTAATTTTGAAAACACATTTAATCTACACCCAGTCTACCCACTAGGTGGATGGGAAGGCCTTTCTCTTCTTTGTATTGTTTAGTTTACCTATATAGTCGAGACTACCCCATCTTGTGAAATTGGCCATATGTTGAGTGATAAGTGAGCACCAGACTCATTTGGTTTAACCTATATGGTCCAAACTACCACACGGCCATCAACACCACTTGCTGTTGGAAAAATTAGTTTCAAGACTAATTGGCTTATGTATCAGCGTATGCAGACGGCCCCAAAACTTACTACTAAATTTGCTGACAACTCCGTTCGCCTCTTCATATATGCGAACTGTATTGATAGTATTCTGATGGACAGTCTTGAGTTGGGTATCGGCCTGGGTCTGTCCCTTGAGATCCATTTGACGGAACATATTAAGAGCAGACTCCTCGCGAACAGCACCGACACCGGAACCAGACTTGTTTTCGATAGTTCCTGTAAGCTGCCATCCATTCTCGTCCCCATGGAAGCGGTACGGCTCGCAATCCTATTCGAGTAAGTAAAACAGAGCGTTTACTAGGACATGTCGAGTGAACTCACGTGGCCAGCAGCGATGATCTCGTTCTCTCCGTTCCAGATCAAACTATTGAACGGTAAGAAGCGAGTGGTGATGTTCAACATAGCCTGAGGAGGTTGGTCGGGTGCACTAGGGTACACAACAGTGACACTACTGTCATGTCCAGTGAAAGCAAGCACGTTTCCACTTGGAGAGAAGGACACTCCTTGAATCCATCCCGCCGAGTCATTCAGAAACTCCCCACATATAGTGTTGAATGGGAGACGTTCTCCCCAGGCGCTCGGCTCGGGGCGGGTATCAACACCTTTAATGTAACTAGAGAGAACTCTCGCGTGAGAATCGGTCGAGCCTGCAGCCAGAAGAACAGAGTTCGGATGCCAAGCAAGTGTGGTGATGGTACTCCGTATAGGCTTCTTCAGGTGTTTCGAAATCCACCAGTCGTTTTCTTCCTCAAAGTAGCAAACGGCGATCACACGGGCCCCTGAGCCAACAGCAAACTTTTGTTCAGATGGAGACCACCTCACAAAGGTTGCAGCTTTGTTGATCCGAAGCAGGACCAAAGTCGGTTTCCAGCCAGTAGAGGTTCGCTCCCAAACATATGCATTGCGATCTATATTTAGTGATGGGTCAGACTATGGATTTGGAACGGGAATGGAAGCAAGTACCCTGGGAACAGGTAACAACCCGGCCACTGTTAGGAGCAATATCAACGCCTGTCACAATCTTTTCATGGCCTTTGAGTTCATCAGTTAACGAGAACTTGTTACCCGCTTTCTGGTAGAGCTCCACATTGCTGTCCCGAGCAACTGCAAGTGTTGACTTATCAGGGGAAAAAGAGTGATCAGCAATGGGGTTATGAAAGAGGTGGTGAACTTCCGGGGTAGCCATTGTAGCCCAGACGACAGGAGGAGCTCTCTACTGTCGGTCAATTATGAATAACGATTGCTTCTGAAATTGTTGACGCAGTTAAGTGATCGCGCCTGAGGGGACGTAACCATCAATGACGCGTGATTATATAATACATATCACATGATCTTCTCTCAAGCTGGTCCAATAGTAGCACGCTAGACACTCGGTCCCAGCAACAAATCCGCTGAATCCAGTATCACCGCCCTTATTTCTCATATTAGCTTCTAAGAACATTCTCCTCTACCTGGCCTTGCCCACTAGGTCGCCTCATATCAAGCAACTACAGCGCTTATAAGTGACAAGCAATGGCATCTAAAGGTGCTCCTACGCGCAATAATCCTTCGGGCAAACCCGGTTCAGCCGCTGGTCTTCCAAACCAAACGTCAGTGAAAATCCCCTCTTCCCATACTCGACACCAGAGCTTCTGACAATCCTTCAGCCTCTATTGTACCAATCTTCCGGATAAGCTTCCCAAATATGACCTACGTCTCTCGCTCTATATGCTTTTTTCCACCTATGGTACAGTTCTAGATGTTGTGGCTATGAAAACAAAAAAGATGCGTGGTCAAGCCCATATTGTATTCAAAGACGTCCAAGCGAGTACTCAAGCAATGCGCGCTCTCCAGGGGTTTGAATTCTTTGGGAAGCAAATGGTATGTTTCACTCCATATTGTGCCATTAAGGACATGCCATGCTCATTCATTTGGGATCTAGAAACTTGTCTATGCTAAAGGTACATCGGATGTGATTGCTAGGCTCCGTGGGGCCTACAATGTGTCGACAACTGTTTCTGCACCAGCTGGAGGTGCCTCAACGGATCTTCAAAAGTCCATCTTCAGCGGACCTCCTGGTTCAACCGCATTACCCTCAAGACCCACTGAAATGAATGGGGAGGCGGCATCTCAGGGAGTCAAACGACCCCGTGAGGAGGAAAGTGATGAAGGAGAAGCCCCAATGGATGAGGAAAGCGATGTGCCCATGGAAGATTCGTCGGACGAGGATTAAGCTTTCCCGACCACAAACTGGCCGGGAAAGAGTGGGGAGGAACAGAACACCCTCGCCAGGCTGTGCCTGCTTCACAACAATTTAACCTAAACCATGGAGGTTTTGCACGCCCTCTTTTGCAAAGAGTTCATGTGGCAGGTGAAGACTGACGCGATTGCCAACCATACCGAGCCATATAATGAGATACGCCTCGGGCGTAACCCGCTGCTGGCCTGCGATTTGCTTCATAGCGTCTGCGGTATTGCATGGGTGAACGAAGAACGCCGGAATTCCGGATTGTGGATGGTACTACGAATCATAAGCGACAATGCACGGAATGGCCCCAAGAGTCATTTGCATATACTCCAAAACTAATGCCACCCATGACACCAACATCTTGAAGTTCCTTTCTGTACTGGTCTGGTACCAGATATTGGTAGACTTCGTCTATCCCCAACGGCCTGGGATGACTGTCCCGCCGTAACGTGAAATACAAAACAGGGACTTGGTATGTGGGGGAGAGAATAACGTCATGTTCTATGTGTAAACAGTTGCTAGAGTGGGATGCGCGAATGAGGGCCTCCTGTTGAGATACTGGTCAGATAACCCCAAGAATGTACAATGGCACAAAGGATTCTCCACAGACAGGATCATCTTCACAAATTTCCACTTCCGGTTCTTCAATATCTACAGATGCGGACAGTGTGTTATCGTAGTAGGGGGTACTGGTATTGTGAATGCTCCGCGATATCTTCAGAACTGCACCGGTTGCCTAAAAGAAACAATTAGAAAAGAGTAGGTGTGGAAGCAAACCCAAGAAAGAAAAGACCCCGCATTCAATTCTGAAACACAGCCATCGATGACCAGATCAATTGTCATTGGACGGATTTTGGAATAAGCCCAAAGAAAAGGCAGCCGCTACCTGTTGTACAAATCGGATCGAGGACCATCCCACCCCGTCTAAGTTGCCCAACACATGAATGCGATCCAGGAAGGCGCGACAGGCGCATTCGAATTCCTCTGGTGTGAGAAGAGGAAAGGCCGATAAAACCCTCTGGCTCGAAAGTGAAGACGATGCCATGCGACTGGTAAAGACGCGGTGTGATTCTACCTCCACTGACCGACAGGGAACATCTGCGGCAGGCGCTTTTTGCATTGATGTGATCTCTGCTGACTCCTCTAGATGCACACCGATCCAGTGTGCGTTGTCTCAACCCAACGCCGTTCTTGGCGTAAGAATGATCTTTTACGAGGCTTATTGTTTGCAGCAGCAGTACGTGCCCATCAATCCAACTAAGAGTTCACAGCACTACTGTGGAGTATTCGGCGAACCCGAACACGGAATCCAGATTTGGCCAAGCGAAACGGCAACAAAAAAAAGTTTTTACTGTGTAGAGAGCGGTAAAGATCGCCAGTCTAATGAACAGATCATAGATCCCGATAATGGGGAGTGGGGGTTTGTGGCTGAGTTCGTGGAACAAGTAGTACTATATATGTACAGTACCAAATTCAAGTTTCCTCCGGGTTGTATCAGACAGGTATCTATAATGACTGTACAGTACGTAAGCCATCTAAAACTGAGTACTAAGGTAGTAAGTACTATGTATGTACTGTACCTAATCAATGTACTCAGTACTGATCGGCTCTATCCTCGCTCTCCTCCCTTTCCTTTTCCTCTTCCCCTTCCTTTTTTATTTCTTTTTCTTTTTTTCTTCTAGCCATTTATTTGTTCACATATAACAAATCTCAAAAGAAAGAATGAAGCCCATGGTAATTCATAGTACTCTAATAACTATTGAATATGGTATATTTTATAATCACCAGATAATTATAAATTTTCCGACGATCATTATTTCTTACTTTTTCTATGCAATGACCATCATCGTGGCTGAACTTTTTTTTTCTTTTCGGGTCTTCCTGTTTGCGGCCAAGATTCCATCATAGCCACCCAATCATGCTGTCAAAGCTCTCCCCTGGCCTGGCCCGAATACTACTAGTAGTAGTACTGTACTCCGTAGGTGGGTTAGTAGCTATCCGGATTCTTTCTCCCAACTACTAGTACTCTGTACTATGTGCTCTGTAGCTGAGATACTAATCCCTACTATTTAGCTACTAGAAGGATAGAACTAGTTAGGTGGTTAACTAAATTAACTAAGCTGGACTTCCAAGCTCTAAGACCTCAAGCGGTTCATCATTCGATGGATTATTTTCTGCTTTTGCCTCTTAGGTGTTTCTGGCTGCATCTCGGCTTCTGTAACAGTCGACCTGTCCGTGTTCGTTCATAGTGTCGCGTTCTCCCTCATTACAGTACTACTACTCCGTACTACTACTACCACTTACGGGGTATACCCACCAGGTTTGCGTTTGTAGGTACAGTACAATGGCCTTGTCAACCTGGCTCGCATCTCAATCTTCGTCGCCCTCCGACCGCGATGATCCGTCAATTCCGCTCCCCACGGGAGCTGTAGCGCCAGTGGGTAACGCATTCGTCATTGTTAGGTGTTTCTTGCATGTTCAACCATGGCAATCTTGTCTCTCTCCACTGCGTTATGTATCTTATTTTTCCCTTACTTGTCTCCAGTTTGACTCTGCTCGTATTCCGCTTCTTTGTTGGCTTCTCGTTATTTTTTTTTTCTTTTCCCTTTTTCCCCCTTCAGGTACATTTCTTCATCTCGTTTCAAGGATAAGCTGTGTACTGTTTTTCTTGGTGCTGTTGTTTCATTGCGTCAACCGACCTTGTATAGCCTCTTCGTCCCTCGACATCATCGCGTCTTTATCCTGGCCAAATATATTTTTGCCCACCTTCCTTGGTCTTAACATATAATCACGAGTCTTTCATTCAACTATCTTTCCACATTCCTACGGCAACTTCCACGGCCTTGGACCTTCTCATCTCCGCGGCAGGTCAACCCCAGGCCACCAAACCTTCCAAGGGAGAATCTGGAAACCTTTGCACCCTTGGTTGACTGTCTAAAACTCTTCGAAGCCTGTTCGTCTGGAACAGGCCGTCATCAGCCGAGATCTGTAAGCAGTGGCATGTGCAGACAATAGCGAGCCGTCGACGTCAGCATCTACAACATTGAAAGGAGATTGACCCTTTAATTCGAAAAACTCAGGCAAAAAAAAGGCCTGGATGCTCTTTTCGAACTACTAACATCCGTGTGGCTGCACATGTCGTGCTTGTATATTTTCTAAGGTATATGCATATATGATTTGATTTGGCAATATCAGGAGTCTTAGCCTCTACTGGGCATTGTTACTGCCCGCAAGTCATGGGAAGTTTCCTCTCCATACAAAGTGGAAACAAACAGCGCCGACCAAACCGGTTGTCAAAGCCACCATCGACTTTCACCTCCCGTTCAGCAAGTTGCCGCTCACCCCATCAAACTTCCGGCGTCGATTCTCCTGTGGCACCCAACCGTGCTCCCTGGCAAGACTCTTCGACTGTTGCTTCCGTTTCCATCAGTTCGCCTGACCCTAAATCCAATGACCGAAGGTCGCAGTCAATCCTCTCGGTATCACTGCAGTCTGAGACACCATGGACGGGCATCAACAGACCTGGAAAGCGGCAGCCCGTACCCGGAGAGCCAAATCATGTCCGCCTAGACACTTCCCACTCAGGTGTACCAGGACCTTTGTGCAGGCGAGCTTCTTTCCAGCCATCTAGGGAGCCGGACACCCTACACAGTGCCCCTCGATCTCCGTCGGACCAGCCAGGGCCGCCAAGGAGGTCCTATTCAGTCCATTCAGCTGCACAGGGTACAAGAAGCGCCATACACCAAAGCAGCCTTGAAGAAGCCGCTTCTTCGAACACCCATTTTATGATAGACAGCCCGGGCTTTTCCTTGATCCGCCGGCGCTCCTTACTTACGCGCCCCGGAATCGCCACGAGACGATCAGTAAGAGGTGTGGCTCAACGATGTCCATCGCCAATTGGACAAGAGCTAGGGTTCTCGCCCAGCTGTACCGGCGAGTCGCCCCAGCTATTCCAATGGCCACCAATAGATTGCGAGGATCCTGTCTTGCAACATACCAATCCGCTTGCTGAGGTTCGCCCGCCAACGCCTGGTGACTTCGGATACACCCATTTAGGAGCTCTTAAGCTGGGGTCTTTGCGGGTAGTGAACGGTTCAGCTTCCCCCTGCCCTAGCGACCGAAGCCGACTCAGGCCAAGCAGCCCGGCTGAGGAGACCAGTGCCGTACATACAACAGAGCTACGTTGGAGCAGAGAATATTTGACTCAAAATGATCCATCTGGGATGGTTACATCAAGTTCTCTGGATATGGGTGACCATCAAAGTGGACCTGAAGTAATTTGGGGCCCTGTGGCCGCCCCAGTGTCGGAGTACACCAGTGACGATGGCCCTAACGGGATATCATCGAATAACGGGTATGTGCCGAATCTCTTCAGAAGTAAGCCGCCTACGTCTACCGTACAGATCCCACCATTCCCCGACGTTACGAGATACGAAGATTTCCCGGCAAGTCCATTTTCTTTTGAGAAATCCCCGATTATCGCGACATCCCATAATTTATATGCTAAGGAAGCGGAAGACGAAGCTATATATGTATCTGATGATGAAACCCCCTTGGAATTCAAGAGGGAGACTTCTCAAGAAGTTCCCTGCCCGAGAAGGATGTCGCATTCGCACAGAAAAGTAGATAGTGGCTACAGCTCCGCTGCATCAGTCCGCTCTCTACAAGACAGCCGCACTAGGGCTTCTGTTGATTCCCAGGAATCAACACAACGGCCTCCAGGCTATCGCAGGTTTACACTCGGGGGCAGCAAAAGTATTGAGTTGTGCAATATAGAGAATCACCTGGAGTTGAGCCAGCAGCTTCCTATAAACCGCCATCTAAATCTTCAAGGTCCTAGAATGAGTCCTAGTGGGGTCCCCCGTGGTTGGTCAACCGACAGGGCAACAATGTGCCATGAGGCACCACAGATATCAGTCGGTGGACGCCCGAGAAGCTTATCCTTTACTTCGCAACACCCTGGTCACACAATATCCCTTTCTCGGTACTGCACACAGCTACGCCACTTGGAAGCTCCCTCTAGTGGAGTCTCGCTTCCTTCGAAACACATACCAGATACAGCCGCAATTCAAGCGGCTGATGATACCATATCAGCCGTACAGCCCTGTGAAAGTTTCGCAAGCTATAATTCAAGATTCAGCTATGACCGTGAGACAGGGCTGGAGAATTCAAATCAAAGGAAAATTGACGCTGGTATTAACGCCGACCAGTCTTACATGTTCAACTCATGTCGGTCAAAATCGGAGAAAAGCATTGTCAAGAAAACTTTGAATGTGGCGTATAAGCAAAACCCACAAGCTATAGTGGCCAATGCAGATATTCGGCATCTAGAATCAGAGATTGAGACACTTGTGGCACCCACGTCACAGCGTCCCGAAAGGGCTGTGGACGTAGGATGCGTGTATTCGGAATCCCTGAGAGGTAGAGCAAGAAGCCGAACTCTCGATATTGAGCGGCGCATGTCAGCAAAACAGCAAAACCAACAAAATACGTACGCGGTAATATCACCTTTTATCTATCGCTAATCCCTTTCTTTTTAACATGGGTGTGTTTGTGTGGCGTTAATATATTATCAAAGGTTTCACTGTGAGAGGTTCCTGGCTTGCATTTTGGATATACCCGCGTCGACGACTTTTTGTTGCTAAAGCACTATTGTTCCACTCAAGTTCCATCTTTTCTACTACTGATTTCAATGGGCAGTCAAACAACTCTTTTCTTTTTTCTTCTTTTACCCTTCTCTTTGTTGCCCCTTTCTCTTATTATGGAGGAAAATAAACATGAACTATGCGGCCCATATTTACCAAAAGCTTTTCTGCTTGGCTTTTTCTTTCCCTTCTTTACTCTTTCACTTTCTTTCTCTCTGTAGATACAATTCACGGTGCAAGAGAGACCGTAAGTGTGAGCTTCGAAGTAAACAATTTGGGGCAACATGCCCAACCTAAGGGACCCAATCGCCTGGTAGGATAGAGGCAAACATGCCGTTTGTGCATAAATGGATCTATCTAGGACTTCTGCCCGGTAGTGTCTCATCATCACAGGCCTACTGCGATCAACAACAGCGCCACCACCTGAGGCGAAACCTTGCTCTTAGCCACTCCGTCTATATTTCAGAAAGGATAGACAAATAAGAGAATAGCTACAATAAGACGAATAGTGGTTAACGGATGGTTACTTTTAGGTAGTGCACGGGCGGGCATATACTATATCATACCATGTATCACATTTTTGCTTCCTGCAGCTCCTCACAACTTATCCTGCAATGCCATGCTAATGTCCAATCTTTGAAGTTATACCCGGAGGCGTGCACCAAAAGTCCTGGGCCCAACGCTAGTAACTTTGGCCTAAGGCAATGAAACATTGTTACTGTACCGAGAATTATGGAAATAATCACATGATTACCACGTGATTGGTGACCAATTGTGTGACGCTTAAAAATAGAAAGGTGCTCGTTATTGGATGCGTATCACGTGATATGTATCCACTTATTTGTGTAAAGTAAGGCTATGACGTTGCCTGAGGCCAAGATTACTAGCGTTGGGGCCAGGACTTTTGGTGCACGCCTCCGTACCCCCAAACTAGATAGATACATATCGGCCCAAATCCTTTGCAAGAAGCAAGGGGGTTTACACTAATGGCATACCGTCGAACTATTGGTTTTTCTCGGATTATTTTACTGGCTTGGGTCATAATTACTCCGTACAAGATGAACCTTTACTTTAGGTTAAAAGTAGGTCAAATCTTCATTAAACCGTCATAAATTGTCTATAATACAGGTCATACAACAACGAGGAGACGTGCAATTCCAAATACAAAACAAGATGACCCGTAAAACTCCTTAGGACTCAAACCAGCCGTAGCATGTCAACTAAACATACTTAGTCAACCGTCTTCAAAGTCTCGTATAGACCTTTCCAAATTTATAATGGAGTTATATTATAGATTCCGGTGTTGAAATCGCACAAGCCCCATCATCCGTACTATAAAAGCCCAACAGTTGGCAATTCACTCGACACGGATTTTCTTTAAGGTCGGGGCAGCTTCCTTTGGGACAATAACCGAGAGAATCCCATCTTTCAGAGTAGCCTTGACTGTATTTTGATCTACTCTTATCGGGAAAGTAAAGGCTCGGTGAAACTTGCCAACTGGGCGCTCGGCGATCCAATATTTGTAGTGCGATTTGGTCTGCTCTTGGACGGTCACCTGCTTTGAAGATTTGGCAGATGCTGCGTCGCTTGCTTCTTCATCTTCATCTTCAACTGTTGGCTGGAGTGACTTGGCCGAAGAAGCGTCAATGAGAAATTCGGCCTGCTCGTTGGTATTGGATGTGCTGTCGCTGTAATTGCGCTCCACGCATCCCTTTATGACCAGCGTATGAGGGTCAGTGAACTCGATATCAAGGCTGGCTTGATTTACGCCAGGCAGTTCTCCATTAAGATGGTAATTGTTGTTTATTTCATAGACATCAAACCGGGGTGTGAAGGAGCGAACAGGCGTAGTCCTCCGCTTTGGGCGGCATGCTCGGTGGACATCATAGTCATCGAGTAAATGGAATAAAGGAGCAAAGTCGCCGGAGATATTGGGAAGAAAGGCCATATTTTGAAGTGACTCGCGTAGTAGTTGAGGGCTTGGTAGTATATCAGAAGTGATGCTGAGACTTTTAGTAGTGTCAAGTCAATGATTGTAAATATTGATGTATTTCGTGATATTTGAGAGGCAATGGGTAAATTATACAAGTTGCCTATCCATTTTTATATTCAAAATATTTTATTCTAGAAGGAACTACCATATCTCATTTGGTTGTACGTATAAGCAAACTGAATGCTCTAGGGGAGACTAGTATATTCTCTAGAGGTCACTAGATGGCTCTGGAGCCTTCGCTGTGCGATACGATACGATACATACATACAATATCTGTAAGTAGCGATGGATAAGATAAGAAGTTGGCCGAACCTTCTGTAACCACGAAAAGATCGATCACATAACACCCATATCTCAGGGAACAGCCCGAAATGTCCTTCCAGATGAGTTATAATGGTTAAGAGGTAGGCGACGCTAAATCAAAATACTGCAATTGTGCATACATACGTACCTAACCTCTTTGTTTTTGTTCATCTTTCAAGTTTAACTATTCACATACTATTCTACTTAGTTTACTCCGTACTTATGCTTGCTTTCTTTCCGTCTCCCCTCCCTTCCCTTTTGGTTTTTTTTTTTTTTTTTTTCAATTCTTCTTTTTCTCCCTCTTTCCGCTCCGCCGCTTTGGACCAATTTTTGACTGCGGATAGTGCTTGATCATCCAAGTTACTGGATATTGCGAATTCCAGGGGAGGAATACATTTCAAGCTGCCTATGCCCTTTGCGCAGTAAATACTCAATAGCATTGAAATCCTTTTTATTAACGGAGATATATTTTTGAAATTCCGTCCTGTGTCATGTCATGAGCAACTCCTCCACATAACGTTTAGCGGAGTCAGAACACCATTACCACCGAAGCAGGGACATACCTAGCATAAGTCTTAAAATTGCTTCTTGTCTCCTGGGCGGGGGTAGGACACCATATTAGTCTAGATGTATGTTTATTAAATGATAATCCAGAGAGGTCTGTTGCTCACTAAGGGCTTCTTTCGAATCTCTCTCAAACATTTCCGATAGAGAGACAAGACCTCTCGCTGAAGACCTGATAATCGAGCCATGACGTTTTTGCACGATGTCACAAAAGGCAATGTGTACTGTGTGATTTGCTCAGCGCATCATTGGGCGGATGTTTTGGAGATGGATAAGGAAAGGTCACCAGCTACACGGAACGTATGGTAGTGTGCTAGGCTCTAGCGCCAGCCTCCGGTCCCCGCCGGTCTGGCGGAGGAGCGAGCGGGTATCTCCTTTTCCCGGCCGAGAGACAGATAGCCCATAGCCTATAGATATGTATGTAACCTTTAAGTAGAATCAGAACATGAAAGACCTATGTCGGGGCTATTCAAATAGTAGGATCTGTTCTCCTGTCCTTTTCCGCTCTTCTCCATGGGATCGAACACCGATATGAAAATGACTACCTTCTCTGTAAGTATTATTACATTACGCCCATACTCCTATCCATACCCAGATTAATATCTGGGGTTGTCGCCCATATACCATATGTCTCATATTACTGGCACGAAGAAATAGCCATTAACTCTGGTTATCCAGCCTTGTTGCCTAATCTTATTTCTCTGTATCGTCCTCTTTCCCACCAAGTAGGCTGACTGTTTCCCCCCTCCGCCATGTAGCGTCTCATCCGCTTTCTAGCTACAGATGGTCACATTTACTATGGTGACGCTATTATGCCCACTGGTATCAGCGACATTGGGAGAGTGACCAGGGCACATGTGATTCAAGGGGATATTTTTGGCCAGCATCAAGTCACAGACCAAGTGGCTGAGGTTAAAACGCTCCTCGCACCATTATCGAGGAAGGACGTTCCAACGGTGCGTTGTTTGGGACTGAACTATGAGCAGCATGCGAGAGAATCCAACCTCCCCATCCCTAAGTATCCAGTCCTCTTCTACAAGCCCATAACAGCCATTACTGGTCCGCATGATGATATCCCCATATGTTCTATGGCGCAAGATGGGGAGGGACTGGACTATGAATGTGAGTTAGTTCTTGTCATTGGCAAGGAAGCCAAGAACATTCCCGAGGAGCACGCTTTGGATTATGTACTCGGGTATGCTGTAGGAAACGATATTTCCCATCGTGATTGGCAACTCAAGCGTGGCGGAGGACAATGGGGGTTGGGCAAAGGCTTCGATGGTTGGGCACCTTTTGGACCAGGCATCGTCTCTTCAAAGCTGATCCGTAATCCCAACGCCTTAAATATCTCAACTAAGGTCAACGGTCGAACGGTCCAGTCATCATCAACTAAAGATATGATATTCGGGGTCGCCAAGACGGTGTCATTTCTCTCCCAAGGCACCACTCTGCTGCCTGGTGACCTAATTTTCACCGGAACGTAAGTTGTATCTCCCTTCTATAGCATTACTTCGTCTTTCTTTTCTGCTCCCCGAAAAAGGACTAATCACTTACATGTCCCTCTATAGGCCGCAGGGTGTTGGGATGGGCCGGAAACCTGCAGCTTGGCTTACAAATGGCGATCAGGTTGAGGTTTCTCTGGAAGATGTGGGTTCGTGCGTTAACCGAGTCGCCTTTGAAAAGCTACCATCTAAGCTATGAAAGAGACTGTTTATTAGATGAATCTTTAGCAGGTACTACTAGACTGTACAGATTTGCATTGTCTGCTGTGGAAACATAGTCGCTATGGATTGTCTCTGCCAATAGAAATTTTATTTAGTCATGGAATTGTAAGACCTTGCTAGTTAACTCTTGCCAATGACCAAAGCTATACCTAGTTGACCTGAGCTCCATACCCCCTGATAGACTCAGCGAACGCCCAGCTCTGGGCCTCGATAGCCTGGTTTTCCTTGATCTCAATTCCCTCCGCTGTGACCACTGCAATTGAATACTTGTCCAGACTCCGTGCATCTCGATACCACAGAACCTTAAGGCATTCCCTCAAAGCCGCTTCTGCCTCACCCTTACTGATCTCCTCGAGGGGCTTCTCTTCAGGGAACAGTCGACGCAGGATGGGGATAGCAAGATGCGCACCAAACCCGGTTGCGAGATGTGGAGCTGAATATGTAGTACCGAGAAGGTCGGCTGAGCTGAGGAAAGGTTTCTCGTCTTCATCAAATCCCACGACGAGAATGTGATTCCAGAGCGGGTTGAATTCAGAGCGACGTTTATAAAGGACCTTAGAAAGGTATGTATGGAGGTTTTTGGCGTTCAGCATATTACCGTGTGTCGAATAATTTTCTCGGATATCAATAGATTCCAGAAGCCGATCGATGTATTGCATGTCTGATACATCGCCGCTGAAGCCGACCACGGCAGAGTCACCGAACGCACGCAGGCGCTTAACATCGGTGAACCGAGCGAGAGATCCGTACGATGCTGGAAAATGTCAATATTTTCACTACGAGCTTCCCACATGACATCAAAGGCCTGCGACCATACCCAAGTTATCAGCAGCGATCGCCACACCACCGTTGAACTTGACCGCTATTACTGACGTCCCAGTCACCGCAGGAGACTGGGTGTGGGTTTTCGGGCCAGTGGTCTGAAGGTATGAGGAGTTGTAAGGTCCGTAGACATCATCCCTAGGCTTGAGGTAGACAGTTAGAGACGTAAGAGCACTCATGTAATAGAGCACTTACCCGACCCCAGACTTCAGGATAGTGATTCATGGTGAAAGGTGGAATATGATGATCTCTAGAACAAATGTAACAGCTGGCGATATTAAAAAGGTGACTCAGAATAAAAGGCTTGGTTAAATTCGATTTGGAGGCTTGAAGAGGTGACTTGGTAAACTGGGCAATACGTACTCGGTTGAAGCTAGGCAGTAGAGAGCTGACGGAGCTCCTTGTTACGTTAGCAACACCCACTGGCGGCGCGCTTATCGGAATCGGTAGGTACTGTCCACGCGCTTAGCGAGTCTCTCTGCAACCCATTAGTACCTACTACCTATCTTACTATATGCAACTTCCTCTGCACCTCAGTTGTCGCATCATTTTACAACCTAGCGAAGAAATAATTCTACAATAATTTATCTTTGAATGTAGCAAGAAAACGATTATAGGCCCGAGTTGGTACTGTTACTCCTTTGTCGAACTATACAGTTGCCTTTGAGTACTCATGGATTAAGATGGGGTACAAAGTAAACCTCTTGTGCTCTATTGTGTATAGCACATTTTTATCAGTGATATGAATTTCTTTTCTCCAGTGTTAATAGTTGTCCCTTTAGGCACTGTGCACAACAATCTTTAAGAGCTCCCAATGGGCAAGGTCTGATCATGTTCATGAAGCGTTAACATGGTCTCGTTCGTGAACTGGAGGTTGACCTCGCGCCATCAGAATCGGCAGCTGTGGCGGCAACAAACTCAATTGTGTCTCTTTGGTCTGCACTCCACTGCTCTTCGGCTTTCTGGTGAAAGTCTTTCTGTGACTTCAACAGTTCTTCTTTGAATCCCCATCTCGGTAGACCCAAAATATTCCATACTTCAGGCGGCAGGGAGGTAAAATATTGCATCTGATCATCAATACCCGCATGCTCCATCAGTTTTTTGAGTAAGCTGGGGTTCTTTAAGGATGTTGAGAAAGCTAACTTTTCGTTGAAATGAACCCCTTGTTTCTTCAACGATAGGAAATGGGCGAATTTTGCATTCACATTGGCATTGGGTGAGCCAGGAGGTGATAGAGGAATATCTAAATTCGGAACCGGTGGTAATGTTAAGTCATGAATAAGTGTACGGGAGGTGGACAAGCGGGATCGCTCGCTGAAGTGCGGTTCTGGTTGTGCCTCTTCATGTGATGGCCCGACAATAGGGCCACTGGGCTCTCGGCTGGTAACCGTCTCTGGCAAATTTGGGCATTTATCAGGCACTAGAAGCGATGTACGATTAGACATGGGCAACAGAAGGATGAGTGTAAAATATACCCGCATAAGCTGATTTCGAAACTTGAACTGGCTGCCCCTTATTTACGCACTGAATGGCTTAGCCTCGAATATATGTACAAATTGAGGTTGTGTATATCACCTTCGTTGCTGAGGGGGCCCTCTTCTTAGTCTCATCCTCGCTGCTGCTTTCATACGCTCCAAGGCCTAACATGATTGCAAGTCTCAGCTCTGATCAGCCGTTTGAGTGGGCGCTCTCTCGTTTCGCAAGCTATAGAGTATGGTTAAGATTGAACTCTCTACCGTTAAATGTCAGTCAAAGCAGCAGCCACAAGTCTGAGACTGGACTGGCGTCGATCATTCCAATACATACGCACTGCGCTGTTTTGCTTGCAGTGGAAAGACAGTTCAAGTTCTAGTGGAGAAGGGAGCTGTAAGCTAACGGCTTATATAAGCCGAAGGCAGCTGCACCGCGTCACAGTGATAATACTAGCTCCACCCAAGAACTACTCATCTTCTTCCCCCGATCGAGATTCATTCAAATCCAGAAGCCATTTGTGTTATCCCAGTTAACAACTACACGTTACACGCCACCTGTACTCACTTCGAATTATTTCCTAACCTTGGTCGATACTGAGATACCACTTAGAAGATGATGTCTTTCATGGGTCACCAATCCCAGAACGAGGCCGTCGGGCACTCCTTCTCTCAGCCAACAAACGCTCCAAACAAAGAACACTCTTTTTACCCGTATGTACCCAACTCTTAAATGTAGTCTGGGCATTGGTACTGACCTGCTTAGGTACACTGACAACGGTGGCTCGACTTTGGGTATTACAGGTGCTGACTTCGCTATCCTTGCTGGAGACACTCGTTCGGTGGCAGGGTATAATATCAATTCTCGCTATGCTCCCAAGGTTTTCAAAATTGGTGGTGATGATGATACTGGCGAGGGTGCCCATATTATTCTGTCGGTCGTGGGCTTCGCTGCGGATGGTCAAGCACTCAAAGAAAGATTAGATGCGGTGGTGAAGATGTACAAGTACCAGCACGGGAAGCCTATGTCTGTCAGAGCCTGCGCTCAGCGATTGTCGACCATTCTTTACCAAAAGCGTTTCTTCCCCTATTATGTGCATGCTATTCTGGCAGGTTTGGATGAAGAGGGCAAAGGAGCGTTGTACAGTTACGATCCGGTAGGCTCATACGAAAGAGAACAGTGCAGAGCAGCCGGATCCGCCGCAAGTTTGATCATGCCATTCTTGGATAACCAAGTCAACTTCAAGAACCAATACATCCCCGGCAGTGGGGACGGGCATGCTCTCGAACCTAAGAAGCCTCAGCCATTACCCAGGGAAACCGTCGAACAGCTCGTGCGTGATGCATTTACCAGCGCTGTAGAGCGACATATCGAAGTTGGAGATGGCTTGCAAATGATGGTTATTACGCAAAACGGGATAGAAGAAATCTACACTCCACTGAAAAAGGACTAGAAGGAGGCTATACTCGACATTGTTGTCTCATCAAGTTCATTCCGGTATTTCGTTACTCATGGTATGAAAGCATGGATACGATAATTCTGGTGTAAGCCACTTTTTCTTCACCATCATGTCAATTATGTCGAAACCATTTTCTTTTCCACCTTTAACGCCAGTACCATGGTCAAAAGAGATCTAGAAGGAAAAACAATAGTAAAAAAACAGCTGCACGCGGGCATTAAAAGCGCTCTTTCATGCGTGATGCCACTTTGCGCAAGTTACCATATACCTTGCCCTATTATCAATTAGTATTTGGATATATTAGGAGAGATGTGCAGGCATACCGGTGGACTTCCGAGAATCAAGCTGACAACAGCTTCTTGTGCAACCAAGATATTGCGATAGCCACCCAATAGGTGTATTTTTTGATCTGCGAGGACAATCCTAGTACGAGTGGCATTTTCTATTGAGTGCTTAAGTTTGCCGTCTTTGCCTGCAATCCGTCCAATAGCACGGCTAAGATGTTCTCCATGGAGCGATGCTTTAACATCACGGATCTCAAATGATCGGATATAGAGGTCATCCAATCTAAGTAATGCAATAGCATCGTCAACATCGAACCCAAGTGTAAAGGCTTTGACGAAATCTTCGCCCTTTTGTAGTGCGCCCGTGTCGGTGGTGAATTTAGAAGTACGTAGCTCGACCGCCCTGCTTTTGATATTCATGCGCACCTGTAGCTTGAGGTGCTCAACCAGTGGGGGGTATATTCTACTCCAGGAGGCCTTGAGAGGTGAAAACCGATGAGGAGGAACAGGCACCTTCCGAGTTTCTACTCGATATACAGTATTGGTATCCTTTGCTGGCGTAAAAACTGGCCGACCTTCCTCATCAATGCACATGTCGGTGTCTTGGGCATTTTCGTCTGCGGCGGCGAACACCGGTACACTTTCCTCCGTTGATGTCTGAGCATCAATTAGAACTTCGTCATCTTGGTCTTGGAAGTTAGTTAAAGAGTTGTAGACTTAACGAGGCAGGGTATATAAAACATACCTATAACAGCGGGAGTGACAGGCGCGCCGGCCGTTGTTGTCTGATCAAGTTTCTTGAGTGCTGTTGGTGCTGGCATTTTGCTTGGGTTGCTGGTAATGATTTTGTAAAAGGATGGTGGATGTAGTGGGAAATCTAGAGTTTTCGGTTGCAAACAAGGCAAACAACCGTATTTAGGCGCGGGTGTATGATTTCATGCAATCTTTATCTGAGAACCAACGGTAGACACTTCTCAACCTCGAAGCCCACGGGCATACATTTGTCTGTCATATTTCATCGGAGGCCTTGGAAAGCGTTACTAGATTTCTGCTTCAAAATAACTGGAAAGGTTCTTGTTTCACCTCATCGTCATACAATTTCCAGCATGTGACGGCAATGATGCCTAGCAATTTTGGACGAAGGTTGTACACCAGCTTCTGGGAAGCAGCGAACCCTCTCCTTGGACGCGGGCTCTGGGCAAGTCGCACACCACATTTTTACGATACAGCAACAAACTCGAACAACATCATATGCGACCTTTTGTTTAAAAGACGGACCAGGAACATATCCTCCTTACCACCCCGAAAGACGACACAAATCACCAGACGATTCGCTTCGGGCAGTTTTCTTGTACTCGGAATATCCCCAAACTCGACTGCAGTAGAGACTGGGACAACTTGTGCAGTAGCCCCTGAAAAGATTATAGCCCATGTTACGCATAGGACCTACAAGTTCGATAGAAGGCTTCTTCACGGCTCATCAAGAATTGCATCACCACCAAGAGGCTCCCGCGCGAGCAAGGATGATCCACTGAAGATAGAAGCACATATGGAATCTCTGAGATACAGTAATGGAAGCTCCTGGGAGAATGTCAAATCTTCCGAATATGAGGCGAATACGGAGAACACAAAGTCAAAGCAGGACATGCCTAGGCTGCAACAGCCAGGACCATCGACCCGCCATCTGATTGACCGTTTGCCACACATGCCACAATTGCACCGGCCCAGCAAAGAGGAGCTATTGGCTGCAGCCAACGGCTTTTGGTCTCGGCTCAAAGTACGATTCAAGTGGTTCTCAATTCGAAGCGTTCGACCTTTTAATCTGGACGAGATAACAGCACTCTTTTCCTGGGTACTTCTAGGGCATGTTGTCTGGGTTGTGTTAGGCACAACTACATTCTTTTCCTTGTTGATCATCGCAATCAATACCGTTTTCGCTCAAGGTATGTTCCAGGTCTGGATGTTCGCGATTCGATTCACTACTAAAGGTATACAGAAACCTTGGCTGGCTGGATAGGTAACTATCTCACGAAATCTTCAGGAGTGAAAGTTGTGTTCGAGTCAGCGATTGTCCCCAAGTGGAGAGATGGCGTAATAACGTTCAAGAATGTCTTTGTCTCCAGGCGACCCGGCCAAGGAACAGGTCATGTTAGTAAAGGCTCGCCTAAAACTGCAGCTGCCGTGGCTGCGGCTGCAGCGCTCAATGATCGGCCTAACTCGGACATCTTGGATCAACGACTCTCATCGGTGGAAGAGGATACAAACTATACGCAATTTGACCTGGCAATCGAGACAGTGAACGTTACACTATCATTTACCAAATGGATCAACGGCAAAGGGCTGCTGCGTGATGTCGAGATTCAAGGGATACGGGGCGTTGTTGACCGCAGATATGTTTATTGGTCAGATGATGACCTCGACCCAAAATCCTACCGGCATGAACACAACCCCGGAGACTTTGAGATCGATTCTTTTAAGATGAGCGATGTCCTAGTCACGGTTTACCAGCCGGACAATTTCAGACCATTTTCTGTTAGTATATTCTCTTGCGATCTACCACAACTGAGAAAGCAGTGGCTGTTTTATGACTTCATGTCAGCCAATATTATGTCAGGATCTTTTGACAATTCGTTATTCACTATTCATCCACGGCAGACTCATAGTTTCACCGGAGCACAGTTAGACAACGGGGTAGGAGAGGACGGCAGAACGAGCCCTTGGAAAAAACATAGCAGGATACGCATCGATGGTCTGAACATTGATCATCTAAACCGTGGAGTACAAGGGCCTTTCTCATGGATACATGAAGGAACTGTCGACATTGTTGCCGACATCATGTTTCCAGCAGAAAATGACGAAAGCCTAACTAAGGTAATGGCTGACATTTATGATCGACTAGAAGCAACTGTCACATCTACTCAGCACCGTGATACGTCATCGGACAACCCAACTCAGCCTGGCGAAACTGTTGGTGAGAACGACATGCGATTTTTAGTCACCGACTTACGACTGCACTTAAACAATGTTAGGGCAGTTGTCCCCCTATTCACACGTGATCTCTCATATATAAACAATGCCCTCATTAGGCCCATTGTGGCATACATCAATTCACGACGTACTTTCATCCCTGTTAATTGCCACCTTGTCAAGCGAGTTGGTGATTTCGACGGCAGCTGGACTATATTCGATAGCGGCTTAATGGATGATCTTTCTGCAGCGGTAAGTCGACGGTGTCTCCGTACAATGGGGAACTCACGCTTATGTCTTGTAGGTGTATGACGCATTTGCACGAGATGTTGTGGATGACCAAGCACGCAAGCGACGTTTCAAGAAAGTAGGGTTTTGGTCACTCCAATTAGCAGCCCAGGCTATTTTTATGGGTATGGCTGGAAATATAGCATGACCTTGTATTTCTATGTGTGATTCTCTGGCGTTTCAAGATCTGGACAATAAAGGCGTTCGGGGAATTAGAAACGCCTTGTGATTATCTTCCGAAGTGAGGAATAGACGTCGTGATTCCCTAGGCTCCTGTTTGATATACTCATCTCCTCATACTTATGTAGCATTGGCGTGGACCCGGGCTCATTCTTTTATCTCTTCTCATTGATCTCCGCTTAGCCCCCTTGCCACCCATCCCTTGAACCTGTATACTACGTTTTGGTTATCCTGCTTGGCGATATAGAAATGGATTCGAAAGGGTGATAGTTGTCTAAACATACATAGATCCACGGTAATAGGCTTGGTCATGGAACAGTCCTGTAAACCACCTACCCATCAACCAAGGCGCATTGCACAGATTTTGTTAGTTAATACAGAAATTAGGTTAGTCATATAAGATAAACTCTCTAACTAATGTTACCGGCAAGCGAACATTCCACGCATGCGAGTTGTTCCATCTCTATATTCTATATAAAATAGCTCTTTTCAAAATCTAAATATTCTAACAGTAGTGAAGATCTAATACTTAATTAGTTAAAATATATAATATGTACTTTATTTATTAGATTATATATAATTTTATTTTTATTTTTTTTAATCTATTTGAATCTCTTGTAATATAAGATTTAATAAAATGTATAGAATATCAGGAATATAACTGTATATACTATATAAAAAGAATAAAGAATCTCTTATCTAGCCAGCTTAAAGATTATATAGTTCTAATAGTCTAGAATCAGTTATAGCCTCTCTAGGCTTCTCGTTATGATATCTAAAGTGTAAAAGTGGTTATTTCATAGTAGGATACGGGACTGGAACGCTTGCCGGCTACATTGACTATATATTTTGTAAGTTGAATATAACGGTTTTGGGAGGTATATCTATAATCTATAAATGTAGTCAATGTACGGAGTAGTAGACACAGAAGGGAAGAAAGAAGTCTGAATAAGAAGGTTTGGATAGGGCATTAACTAACTACGGAGTATTTACTATTTAGTTACTTACTACTAGTAGTTAGTATATGGGGCAAACCAAACAATATACTAAAGCTACTCCTCCTTTTCCTCACTCTGCAGTGTATTTCCTGTAGTACTACTCTATATGTATATCACATCACATACAGTATTAGTACAGATACATCTTCCCCTTTGCTTTCCGAACCCTTCCACTCACGTTTTGATCTGGCACTTTATCTACGATCTGTACCTATGTATTTTCTGTGTCTGTGTATTATTATAATTCGGTAGTATGCACTCGATCCTTAACCACCACATAGAGTAAACAATCATGCATATCTACCAGTTTGTAATGAGAGTGCCCTGTACTATAATTTGGTGCCGTAAGTTATATCCAACTACCTATCCGTATACTTATTATCATTTCCCTTGGTCATGGTAACCTACGTTACCTGGTAATACTAAGTAGGTACTAAGTAGTAGTAGAAATACTATCTTACCCCTGAGCCGATGCCGCCTATCACCCACTCAATTACCCGCTCGAGTCCACTCATGGTCCGCTTTTCCAATCCGAGCTCCGACTCCCTACACAATCTGCTATGTAACAACTTCGGCGGCAGGGTAGCAGCAACGCTTCAACAACCCCAACCAGCTCTTCGCAGGGCCTCCAAGGTCACATTTAGCAAGACATCAGTTACTTACACATTCAACATTGATCGGCGATTACACTTCATTGCCCGTGACTATCTGCGACCACGATCGTACGCTGCTGAGACTGGTCATTGCTGCTCTCCGTAAATCTCCCTCACTACCCTGTGTACAGGCAGTCACCTCGAGTCACCTCCAGTCACCCCACCAATTCACCACTAACCCATCACAAAGTCCTCTGTCGCCGAGGTTAGTTGGTTGCACTTTTGCGCTTTCAAAACGTTCGATCAGTCATTAAATAACTCATGCGACGTTCCCGGTGCCTCCATTCGGTGCCGCCCAAGTCTCATTGAGCGCATTCGGATGTTTGCTGTTGAATAGACCTGACCAGCATGATCGGAACATGATTGAACAAACAATACCCACTAAATCTCGACAACCTTCATACGCAATGGAAGCCAGCCAATCTTTAACACCTTCGCCTATATCATCCGTCTCGGCGCCTGGGGAGCGATCCGGGCAGCGCATCATGCCCCGCACTTCTTCAATTGACTCTGCGATATCATCTCTCTCTTCCGCCTCGCAGTCCCATAAGTCTTCATTTGATCCTACGGCTTTGAGCCAAGCTGATATTGGGAATCTCATCGCCACCGCAGGGTCTGCCGAGGCAGTAATCATACATCTTTTGAAGGAAAAGCATCATGCAGCATCTCAGAATTCACAACTTTGGAGACTGGTTGATAAACAAAGAACACTTATCCTTGGATTAAATAAAGATCTTGAACGTGCTTTGAAAGAGAAAGAGCGATATAGGAAGAAGTTCAAGGAGTTGCAGAGCCCTGCGCCAATTTTACCACCAAACAATGGGCTTCACTTCCAGCATAGAGCCATCGAAAGTGAAGACAAATCTCTTGGGCAGAGGAATTCTGAGCAGGGGAAATTGCAGTATCAAGGTGTGTCACCACAGAGCCCCAATTCTATCGGGCGAAACCTATCATCTAGCACTATCCGGTCGCAGAGCGTGGCTGTACAGGATCTATCGGAAAATCTGATGAAGTGTTCTACGGGTCATACAGGCGGGCTGGACCAGCAATTAGGCTCGCAACCTCACCCACCATCAGTGTATTCTCAACAAGAATTAGCGGCTGCGAGCCCAAGTTCTTTGGCAAGCTCTAGCTCCCCTGTTAACGATACTATGCCAGGTGAAGATAAACAGCAAAGAGTCCCACACCCTGTGCGCAAGCCTCCACCTGCGCCCTTGAATCTCGTCCAAGGCGAACGCACTTTATTGGGCAATCCAGACATCTACGACTCAGAATCTGAGTATGAAGATATTTTGGCAGTTGATGAATTACCCGTAGAACGGGGACGAAGAAAAACACGCGATGACGATGATCGTGAACGTGAAGCTGCCCTGGCACGCGAAAAGATTACGCTTAGTTCTTCGAGAAATGAATCTTCTCATTCAACGAAGGCAGCTCCAATCACTGATTCATCTGAATATTTAACAGCTCCTTTACGTCCTCGTATGACTCTCGGCGATCATCCTGTCATCATGGCGCCGAAGAGCCCTGGCTTGCCTGTCAGCCCGAGGCCTGAAGATCGCCCACCCAACTCCCCTTTGCCTCGGTTGCCCAGAGATATGACCAACAACATGGCTTCCTTACCGATAGCCTCAGAAAGTGGCCTTTCGGGTTTAGCTCTATCACCTCATGTCAGCAAGTATCAGGCCCCCTTTAGCGCTACACGTTCACACATGCCAGTCGACGTAGCCAGTCGATCTATCCCCTCGATTGACGCCACTGTTAGAGCCGACAGTACTAGGTCCACAGTGTCAAACTCCAACAGTATTTATCGGGGATTGGTTTCAGAAGACTACCCAGGCTTTCTATTACCTCCAAATGCTCTACCTTTGGTGCTAGTTAAGGTGTCGTCCTCACGACTTCGCCCCTCGCGAAACAGCTACTTAGCGTCTAGGCCTTCGGAAGAGGAGCCTGTTTTTACACTGAGCGTCCTTTCGCGTTCTGAAAACTTGGAGCTCTGGCGTGTTGAAAAGGTCATTGCAGCACTCCCACAACTTGATCAACAAGTAAAACAGTTATCTAGCTACTGTGGGAAGCTACCAGACAGATCCATATTCAGTGGACATTCCCCAGCCAAGGTGGATGCGAGGCGAGCCGCATTAAATGCATACTTCGAAGCCCTTCTCGATACACCAATGGATGAAAAATCGGCTCTGGTCATATGCCAGTTCCTCACGTCCGATGCTATTGAGCCACGGGATGATGAAACCAGTTTGCTAAAAGGTAGTCAACACGTGAGCTCCGAAATACTACGTGGTCCTGATGGTAAACCCAGAAAAGAAGGCTATTTAACAAAAAGAGGCAAGAATTTTGGCGGTTGGAAGGCTCGGTACTTTATCCTCCATGGGCCCGAGTTGAAATACCTTGAATCGCCAGGTGGTCCTCACCTTGGAACTATCAAAATTTACAATGCCCAGATTGGCAAGCAGTCGCAGGGCACAAATGGTCAAAATAATAGCCCGCCGGCACGAGCTGAAGAGGACTCCGACAATCAATATCGCCACGCGTTTCTAATTTTAGAACCCAAGAAAAAGGATTCATCGGCTCTTGTGCGACATGTTCTGTGCGCGGAAAGCGACGAAGAGAGGGATTCTTGGGTAGAGGCACTCTTGGAATATGTAGACGGGCAATCCGAGAACGAAGCATCGAATAGTGGATCCTCAAAGGGTCAGGTCTCTGGTACATGCACTGCCAACACGACGGTTAACCCCAAAATGCCCCCGAATGGAAACAAGAACAACAGAACAACCGATAGTTCGGATCTTGAAGGCCTCGATATAGTTCAAGGATTTAGTTACGAGGATGCTATCCCTGCCGAACCGCCTGTTTTCGGACCACCTTACGAACAACAGGCACTTAGGTCACCCACTTTTCCTCAAATGTCGCCGGCAGACCCTACAGATGCAACCCAAGCAACGAACCTGGTGCCGGACCCTGGCCAGCTCTCATCTAGAATCATATCTGGGCCCACAAATGGAGCTATTATCCAAAACGCGGGAGCTTGGGGAAATAAATCGGCAACTAGTACCAAAGAAAAAAAACGTAGCATCTGGGGATTCCGCACGAGATCGTCAGTCGACCTTGCCTCACAACTGCAAACCAGTTATGACTCTCCATCGGTTCAACCACAGAATCTTACCTCAGGTGAAAGAAGGGACCTTGTCAGATCAGTCTTCGGCATCCCATTGGCGGAGGCGGTGCAGTTCTGTGCGCCGCAGGGCATCGACGTTGATTTACCTGCTGTAGTCTACCGTTGCATCGAGTACCTCAAGGCCAAAGGTGCAGAATCAGAGGAAGGGATATTTCGATTAAGTGGGTCAAACATCGTCGTCAAGGCGCTCAAAGAAAGGTTCAATACTGAAGGGGATGTGGACTTCCTCGCCGGTGATCAGTATTACGATGTACATGCTGTGGCCTCCCTTTTCAAGCAATATCTGCGAGAGTTGCCCACGACTGTTCTCACTCGCGAACTTCATATCAAGTTTCTGCGTGTTCTTGGTAAGCACGGCTATTGATCTAGAGTGACGTTTGTGAATCTTAATGCTAATAGTCTTCGCTCCAGAGCTTAATGAAAGGCAGAATAAGATTGCGGCATTCAACTCGCTTGTCCACAGACTTCCGAGACCAAACTTGGCTTTACTGCGAGCATTGGTTCAGTTTTTGATTATTATCGTGAACAACTCTGATGTCAATAAAATGACGGTCAGAAATGTTGGCATAGTTTTTGCTCCAACACTAAACATCCCAGCGCCTGTGTTCTCGATGTTTCTTACTGAATTTGAGCGAATCTTTGAAGACATTCTAGGAACGCGTTCAGACATTGAGGATCTCATCATAGATAGTCCTACGTCTCCAGAAATCTCTCATTTTGCGCCAAGCCAGATACTGACAGAGATGCCGACTTTACAAACTCAAACAACTTTCCGTAAACAGGTGGATCTTCGTGACCGTGATGAATGCATAACACACCAATCAAGCTATGATCAGTCATCTCGCAACTTCCTGGAAAGTAATAACGAGGAACATACCACTCCACCTACAACGAGCAAGATGTTGACACCAAATCCTGAAACTTCGCGTTCCATCAAATCGAAAAGAAGAGAAAGTTCTCTACTTTTCATGGAGGTTAATCATCTTAACTCTCCTTTTGCTTCCGCGCACGATACTGATGGTGAGTAAATTCGACTATCCCTTGCTAAAGCCACGAGCTTGACGATTATTAGCCTGATCATCTGCGCCTTGTGCGCTCACTTGGCTGTACCGAGGAGAATCTGAGCGGTCCACTTTAATGTATATGTTCTGCTTTTATCCCACCCGCACAATCACCTCAGCTTGTCGTTGATCTTGCACATGGGCATTGCTTCAACGATCAAGGCCATCATGATTTGAACGAACTTGAAATGACTCGAACATACACACCTGACCAGATTCAGCCAAGCGCCAAAAGGGGAACATTTAATACTAATAATAATCACCAGAGATGGCTCTTGCTTTTCAATTCACATTACCTGCATTACCTACACTTTTGTTTGAGCGTTCTCCCACACTAAACAGTTCTTATTTTAAACGGCAGCTACCTTTTGGCCGTACTCAATGCAGGGAAAGGTGGTGGTATGCGTCTATTGGTTATGACATGATTTGCACAGACCTTCTGCCAGCTGCTTAAATCGTGTTCTTGTCTTCTTTGTCCTCACCCTTCTCCATCATCTCTCTCTCTATATCTGGTTCCAATCACGTCGCAGAACAAAATTCAAAGTGTTGTATACCCATCCGTTATATACTTGCATCAATATTTCTTGACACCTTTAAACAATTCAAACTTTTTGCCGCCTACTTAGGTTTATATAGGTGTGTGAAGTTTGATCAAAGTCAAATCAACCCACTCATGCTTCTCTTCGATTTATTGTCACTGTTAATGGTGATCGTAAGACAAATACATTAACCAGGCTAGGACGGACCAAAATGGTGCTCATTACGTTGTTTTGTAGCGTCTCAGAACCTTTTGGAGCGTTCACCTCTCCAGAATCCCATCAATTCACCGTTTTCTTTGACCCAGTCTCGAACACTATCCACCAGAGCCTTGGCCATGCCCTTGTTCTTGGATTTCCCATCTGAAGTCAAAGTATTGCGAGCAAACCCCGGAGCTGAAACATGGTCACCAGTGGCATATTCGGACCCTATGCTAGGCAAAACATTTTCACCTGCACTAAGACTGACAAAGAGCGCAAAAGGGACTAGCCAGACACAAAGTCCAAAATAAGATGCAACTTCAGTGAAAGTCGGCATGTCCTCCGCATTTATTTGGTATGGTTGTCGCCAGTTGGATGCAGCTCGCGACGCAGGCAGAGGTTTCGAGAAATGACGGAACCAGAGCCAATGGTTTAGACCAACAAGAACACATGACAGAATAAAAAAGGGATCTGATAGCTTGACAATGGGGAACCGTCTTAAATTGCTTGCATAGACGATGTGCGAGCCGATGCCGAGAAGAGATAGAGAGAAAGGAAACCGGTCAAAAACGAATAGGAGGATTTGGATAAGAATAATGCTGTATATCAACCGAGTTAAAAGGCGACGGGCGAGAACAGTATGTTCTTCTACAAGTTCCGACATATAATAGAGCCCAGAAGCTAGAGATCCGTTAGTCCAGTGCAGTCTGAGTACGATTGAACCCGCTTAATGGCAATTGAGCCGTAACACAACTGTATGGGGTTATTTCGTTCCACGTCCACTGGCAAGATATCCAACTCGGCAGCTCGCAGGTTATGAGGCAACACTCTTATCTTACCTATGGCCAAAGTAAGAAATGAGAACCCCACAATAACCCCCAAATATCCTAGTAAGGGTAGGATCCACATGTTGGAGAGCTGAAAGTGTCAATCTAGCTCCGATTGATATATTATATGTTGTGAGGTTAGGAAGTGGAAAAATGAAGCTTGGCGATCGTAATCTGTCCGATGATGAAAGCGGTCTGATCAATTGGGTTATATCTGAGCCGATAGAGGGGCAAATTGACTGAAGTTAAGTGATTGGAATAAACCGCGGTCAATGATTTACGAAGTACCACGTACGCCGATGCCTCAGGCTTTGATATACCCGTCACAAGGCACCAACTCCACCTTTCCCCTCGCAGAAAGCCATGAGCCCGGGAAAAAAAAAAGGTTAGAGAGAAAGAGCAAAGGTCTAGATCAAGTCGATTTCTTGTTGTTTTTCAACTCTTCTCTTTCGAGCTTATGTCTCAATATTATAAAATCTTCTATTGAACATTTCACCTTCAACCTTTTAACTCAAAGTAAGGCATACATTTTGTCTGCTCTCTAAGGCACTTCCCTAAGAAAAAGGAGACTTTAAATTTAAGGTAGCAGTGATGTCGCGTCCGGAGGATGTCTTGTAAGATCCCCAATCCGAAGAACTTGCACAACTCTTACCGAGAATTCATTTGTCCTTAACCCAAGGCCCCCTGACCTCTTCTATGACGATAATGAATCTCGAAAATATACCACGTCTTCGCGAATCCGTAACATACAATCTGATATGACCAATCGAGCACTCGAACTTCTTGACCTTCGATCTCCGTCACTGATTCTAGATATCGGCTGTGGCTCCGGACTTTCGGGTGAAATTCTTTCTGCAGTGCTCCCTGAGCATGGGGGGCCTCATACCTGGATAGGCATGGATATCTCACCTAGCATGCTTGATATCGCCCGTCAACGGGATGTAGAAGGTGATTTATTTCTAGCTGATATCGGGCAAGGAGTACCATTTCGTCCAGGCACGTTTGATGCAGCTATCAGTATCAGTGCCATCCAGTGGCTCTGCAACGCCGAAACGAGTGATGTTAGTCCTGAAGGGCGCCTACGGCGGTTTTTTGAAGGTCTTTATGCTAGCCTACGGCGTGGAGGTCGTGCTGTTTGTCAATTCTATCCTAAAAATGATGCACAGCGGAATATGATCAGTGGTGCTGCCATCAAGGCTGGTTTCGGAGCTGGTATCCTAGAAGATGACCCTGGAACAAAGAACAGCAAACTGTACCTTGTTTTGACTGTTGGAGGCGGTGGTCTGCAAGGTGATATTACAGGCGTCGTGAATGGAATGGATGATGTTAATATCCTGGATGCCAGAAGAAAGGCAATGGAGCATGGGAAAATGCAACTGCCCCGGAAAGGCGATAAGGCTTGGATTATGCGAAAAAAGGAACAGATGGAGAGAAAGGGCAAGGTTGTGAAACAGAATTCTAGGTACACGGGCAGAAAGCGTCGTCCAGCGTTCTAATCATCCGGCCATGGTTAGCTTTCCGTGCTTGATCAAGTCGATATATCTTTGGCGCTTGGGTTCATTGCGCAAACAGAAATCAATAAGGCAGAAAAGCAAATTCGAGCCGTGGCCACAAACGACATTGATCTATCTAATTACTTGCGTTGTAGCCATTACCACCCAGGCGCGGATTCATTCAGAGCAGGTTTCATCCAGAAGGCAAACATCAGTTATTCTTCTACTTAAGCCTTCATAAACTAACTGTGGGTATTGACCTTACAGTGGTATTCTTCTCTTGCCAATTTGGTTTGGCTTTTAGCCAAGACCCGCTGCAAATGAAGAGGTGCCATAAATGGCCAACACTAGGACGGCCTCCCGCTTCCCCCTACAAACTTGTGGGATACTAGATGGAACTATGTATTCTGGTTATGAATAAAGCAGAATTTCATCTATTTTCAAAACACTAGTATATAATTTTACACATCCTACTAGCTCCGCAAAATTGTGATAAGCCTCAATTGAGTAGGACGCCTTCGATGTCGCTTCAGCGAGAGATAATACAGTAAAGGAAGAAACCCAGGGAGCCAGCATGGCATTGACTGAGTAATCTACTGGCTTATACAAGCTTTCATTATCGTGAGAACAGCGATTAAGCCGGACAGAGATCCCATAAGTTACAGGGCAGCCTCCATCTTGTCCAGAACGGCTCTTGTGAACTCATGGGTGGTGGCCTGTCCACCCATGTCACGGGTTCTCGTTTTACTAGGAGGTTGTCAGCAAGGGAACAAAGTATCCCAGGAGCGGGTCATACTACTCACCCTTCACCGATGACATCGTACACAGCCTTGGAAATTCTATTTGCGTGGTCATCCAAGCCGAGGTGACGCAGGAGCATAGACCCAGAGAGGATCATAGCACTGGGGTTCGCCTGGTCCTTGCCCTTGATATCAAGCCCAACGTGGCGGCAGCCGGGCTCAAACACAGCAACGTCGCGACCCATGTTGCAACCAGGGACAACGCCTGGTCCGCCAACAAGGGCTGCACCGACATTGGAAAGGATCCCGCCGTACAGATTGGGCATGACCATGACGTCAAACTGCTGGGGCCGGGACACGGCCTGCATAGATGCATTGTCAACGATCATATCGTTGACCTCCAAAGTCGGATAGTTTTCGGCAACCTTGTGGAAAGTGCTACGGAACAGACCGTCGGCCAATTTCATGATGTTCGCCTTGTGAATGCAGGTAACCTTCTTCCTGTTATTTGCCAGGGCAAAGCCAAAAGCAAATTTAGAGATACGCTCAGATTTGGCACGAGTGATGATTTTCAGCGACTCGACGACACCTTGGACAGACTGATGTTCAAGGCCAGAGTATTCTCCCTCAGTATTCTCACGGATGATGCAAAGGTCGACATTCTCATGGCGTGTCTTGTAGCCCGGGATGTTTTTAATCAGAACAATCGAGGCAAAGATATCAAGCTCCTGTCGAAGAGCAACGTTGAATGATTGGTGGCCCGAGCGCTCAACCGGAGTGAAGAGGATGCCCTTGAGACCCAGCTTGTTGCGGCGAAGGGAAGCGATAGATTCCTTGAAAAGTTCTTCCGAATGCTTGTTGCCCGCATCAACACCACTAACATCTACCTGCTCCCACTCAATGGGCACATTATCGGCTTTAAAAATGGTCTTGACCGATTCAGCAACTTCAGCACCGATTCCATCGCCTTTGCTCAAAAGTACGAGGCGTCAGCAGGTCTAAAGTTGATTCTAGGGGGTATATGGGAACGTATATATACCTGGAATAAGCGTCACAGTGTATTTGCCGCCATACTTGGTCGGCTTGAAGATATCCGACTGAACGCTAGCAAAGGCTAAAACTCGCGAGTCAGTCATACGATTAATGTAAGACCAGTCATACGGAGAAGACTTAGACAACATACATCTTGCTGCCAGGGAGGAGCGGACGGTGGGAGCTGTCACTGCAGTGCGACGGAGGAAAGACTGTCAGGATGCAAGTTAGCGAACAAAATATATACGTGAAATGTAACACTAAGAGTGGTAATTCCGGGGGAAAGAAATTGACAAGGTGTGCGATTTAGAATGTACCAGAACTGAAGATCATGGGGGAATAAAAAGGAAGGAGGGTGTGGGAAAAAAAAAGGATACTGCAATGGTCGGTTTCTATCGGGCAGAAGGAAGGTAGACAAATAACCAAGGGTAAACCAAGAACAAAGAGAACACAATTCGAAGTCAGCCAATGATCGGGTATGTGTAGATACTTACTTGCGCGGGCTGCGCTGTCCTTAGGGAAAACATCTTAACAATGAACCAGGGAGAAAACGGGAGGGAGAGGAGAGAGGCGAAAAGCGAATCTAGCTAGAGAGAAAAAGGCGTGCAGAGGGAAGAGACGGAGGACGGGAAAGAAAGGCGGCCAAGGCTAAGGACAGGGAGTGCACGAGACACCGGAAAAAACGGCGGATCGTCTCGGCATCCATTGAAAGCCAACCTGTTCTTGGATAAGAAAGATCCGGGCCGATCTTATCTTTAGGGTCCATCACTCAATTAATCTATCAATCAGCTCATTCACGTTCTATAGAACCCCTTAAACAATGAGTGATACATGCTTTAGCCTTTGAGATTGTAAAAAGTCCGATCAGAGGTTTTCTATATCCTGCTGAAGGTGACTATCTCTCCTTCATTACTATTAGGTTTATTATAAAGATAGTATTTGTATGATCGAACCCCCTCCTTTCTTTTTATTGAGAGGGACAAGAAAATGATTTAGCAAACACATCCCCACTTCAAGTACCTGTTCCGCTACTTCGGTGTTCATTGTCCTTGATCTAACATACCGACTTTTCCCCTTTGGTATATCAATCAAGGTCTCTTTTAGTTGCCTTATATCAGTGCATCTAGAAAGCCATTCCTTATTGATGACTTAATGTGGTCATAAATAACCTTCAAAGGCCAAAAAGGCTCTAAACCTAATGGTCTAATCTAGCAACTAGATCATTCTGAAGGCTTCTCGGAAAGAAGAATAGAGCCATCCGTTCATTATTAGTCTGCTTGCAAAAGAGGCAGTGTTTGAACCACTGTGGATGCGCAATGTACGCCTGACTCTGGTGTACAGAAGATACTTTCAAGTAGGGCTCAATCAGGATACCGCTTGAGTCTACAAATTTTGTACACCAGACCCTGGCTATCCCTGAGCTGAATCAAGCGTAGGGGGGAGTGTCCCCCATGGCATGTGATGTTATTCATTCCCCACTAAGAAATATGTACCTGTTTGATCCCATCTCTGTTACGGGTCTTATTGAACATGCCCTTCATTTCCTATTCAATAACTTCTATTCAGGCTTGTGCTGCTTTGTCTTTCGTCTTGCGCTTCCTCTTCCACATGTGAATAGGGCAACTTCTCCATCAAGCATGCGGCCCCATGAATTCGATCGGTAAGGTTTCTCGCCTTTCTAGCTTCCATTATCCTATATAATCGACACTATCCTTGCCCGTCTCATATCATAATCAAGAATATCGATTCTCACAACTCTGCTTTCAACCAACTCAATCTAAACCGCCTATCAAACCCCTGGTCAGAAAGTCTTCTGGTTATCAAAGATGAAGCTCATTTCTGTCGTCGTTGCCGCTCTTGCAGCCACCAGTGCACAGGCCGGAGTTTTACAAAAATGGTGCGCACTGCCTGCTCAGGGCTGCTACATGCTGAAACGTGCCGCCGATGCCAGTGGAGACGTTCGACGTTCTGCTGAGGCCCTTGCTGAGGCCATGCCTGATGCAGAAGCCTTGGCCAAGTGGTGTGCCCTTCCTGGTCAGGGATGTCTCAAGGCTAAGCGGGCTGCTGAGGCTGTTGAGGAAGCCAGACGCTCCGCCGATGCCCTTGCAGATGCCATGGCAGATCTCGAGGAGTACTAGGAAGGTCAGTAAGCCCATGTCTTTGAATTGCAAACGTCACGTAGATTCTGATGGTGTTTGAACTAGGTAAGCACTCCGACTAGCCGTATCATTCTTCAGATATGTGAGACAAGAGCTTTGAGCGTGGCAGATATGTTTACAGGCTTGTGGCCGAGTCACTCTTTCCAATAAACTACTTACGGCCATCGTTACTTCGTCCTTTCTGATGCTTACATCGTTTAAGCGCTCTCAATCAAGGGCGCTTAAATGGGGGAGGGAGACTAGGGAAGGTAAAAGAGAGAAAAAAAGAAAAAGAAAAGAAAAGAGGAGAGGAGGAGTAGGAGAAATCAAGAAACGGAGACAAGTGAGAGTAAGGGCCCGTGGGATGTTACAGCAGCTATATATGAGCTGTCACAACAATCAGTTATTGCCGTTATATCTGTTAACTGTTTCTCGTACACCTTGTTTGGTTCCTATGACCAAATATACCCAATAAAACTACACCGGCTACACAAACCCACCCCACTTTATCATATAGACTCTGTACTAGTTCGTCCTTACCCATTGCGACTTCTACTATAAACCTGGCCAGCGTCCGGCACATATTTAATACAGTATTACTCATCGCCTGGTGTGTAGTAGGTCGATACCCACCAGAAATAATCGATTCCTTTACAGCACGCGATGATAATATTGCAGATTAAGTAATAGTTGGCGATCTAATAAACATGGACTAACCTTCTACCTAACACAACTCCGAGAAGCTTGCATTTATGAAAGCCATTTAGGTTGTACAAGATCACAGCCCGCATACCGATTCATCCCCTCCAAAGTGCTGTACTGACATTCAACGTATCTGTTCCCACCATCGATGACCCTGAGCCCTATAGATAGGGTCGTTTGACAACTTATACGGTGACCCCGTCGTCGGCTCATTCATCACAGGCTCGATTTTACCTGCACATGCCTCATAGTCTCTCTGTGCAAGAACCTCATAGCCGGAAACCATATATGGCTCGGCATACTGGTTTTCATCGTCATCGTTACCTCCATCGTGCATTGAGTCACACATATCCAAATAATCAATATAACCCGTATGAGTTGATATGTTTGAACCCCGTGCGTTGATCGCTGCCCCACCTGAAGAATATGCACACAGCTCGGAGCTCGACTGAGTCACCCTCTCCATGCTTGGGTCGGTGGATGCATCTCTGGACTCTGGGAAGATTTGCCAGATCTGGATTAAGCGTGATCGTTGCTCCGGCATTGCATTCTCAAATAACTGTAGCTGTGTGGGAGTAAGGGATAATGGGTTGATGTTTTGTAATCTCAGCATTTCATGTACTGGGCTTGGAGTCACGTTAGGGTCCAAGGACTCATCCTGCTCCGGTAATCCTGCTGGATATGTGCAGCGGGCCACATGCGAGGAGTGATGATAATGTTGGGTGATACTGTACGCGACCGGAGGATGGGCGGCTGGTGGCATCTCCTGACTGTCAGGCGGTATTGGTATATCCATACGCATTTGCCTGGAGAAAAGTGCCACAAGGTCTTCTTGAATTTGTAGATTACCTTCGGATGCTGGCAAACCGCACTGTATGACCGCTAGTCAGGAACACTCCCTCCCCTCGAACAGGTAAAACAAGAGAGAGACATCTACCTGACTACAATGAAAACCATCGGCAAAAGCAGCAAGTGCACTGGTGTTGTATGACACTTGCCCACAAAATGAGCAGGTATACGATGTAGACAAAGACATGGTTTGGGAAATCCAGGGTCATAAAAAGATGAAGGGAAATGAGTGCATAGAATATGAAGTTGTCACCGGTACTGCTACAGTACTAAAGGTTCATAGGCAGTATATGCAACAGAAGCACTACAAAGAAGTAGAGATTCATACGGACTAAGAAGTTCAATTATAAGCACTTGAACATGCTGAAGAGAGGCGGCGTGAAGCCATTTAGGCGGGAGATGCTACTGCCCAAAGATGCGGGCAGATTGGGCACTTATAGGGAGCGAATGATCCTGGCGACTGTTGAGACTTGACCAAAGTTCTGGGATTTCATTGGCGCCACTTTACATTCAGATTAAAACCAATAGAAAGTCCAAGCAGATCTACAGCCACTTATATAGTAGTAAGGAAATGGAGGGGCATTGATACTCCGTACTGTCACGTGATGTCGAGAGGTGGTCTACATCACGTGATACTTATTATACCACTAGTTAGCAGGCAGAAACCCCGTGACGCGGAGCTTGGTTAGACTGGGTGGTCGTACATACGTACCGCCTCTTAGACTGGGGCAGTTACTGTCTTGCTTATCATTTGGAGCTTCCAACATCTTCACACTACACTCGCTCTGTGGCTCTTTCTATCAGTTTGTCATTCCACACAATACTTATTGGCTTTCCTCTCTAGAAATAAATCAGTGATTTCCCTTATCTCGTGACAAACAAAACTAATAAAGACCATGGTTCGTTTTTGTTTCCATTTACGTGAAGGTTTGCTAAACACTAACATCATCATAACACAGACGTCCATCGGTACTGGATACGACCTTTCTAATTCTGTCTTCTCGCCAGATGGCCGCAACTTTCAGGTAGTTAATCGATTAAGATTTCCCATGGTTTTACTCTGACAAGTCGCTAAGTCAGCTATATCGATAGGTGGAATATGCAGCTAAAGCGGTTGAAAATGGAGGAACAGCCATTGGTATAAGGTGCAAGGACGGTGTCGTGCTAGCTGTCGAGAAGATTATTACTAGCAAGCTCCTGAAGCCAGGTGCAAATAAGAGAATAGCAACAGTCGATCGACACGTTGGTATTGTATGTCACGACCCAACTTCGACTGGTGTGGGAATAACCCATATCGTGATCATTGGACCTATTCACTGACATGTGTGGATCGAAATAAATAGGCTTCTGCCGGTCTAGTCCCAGACGGTCGACACTTTGTCACTCGTGCTAGAGACGAGGCTGCTTCGTGGAGAAGCGTATACAAGGGCCCTATCCCAGTATCGGCTCTGTCAAATCGTTTGGGCAGCTACGTACAAGCTTATACCCTCTACTCCAGTGTACGACCTTTTGGTGTGACCGCTATCGTTGGCGGCTGGGATTCTGAAGCTGAGCTTGCCGTTGACGGTCAAGTCGGCAGTGGGCCTAAGTCAGGCTCTGGGGGTAAGGTTGATGGAGCTAGGGCTGGGGGCCCAGGTTTATATATGATTGAGCCAAGTGGGCTGTACTGGGTAAGGCAGGCATCAACAATCCCAAACTAGCTACTGCGCTGACTACTACAAGGGTTACTATGGCGCCGCTACCGGGAAGGGGAGGCAGGCTGCTAAGGCTGAACTTGAGAAGTTAGATCTAAGTTCGGGTAACCTGAGTTTGGTTGATGCTGTAAAAGAGGCAGCTCGAATCATTTACGTCGCGCACGAGGATAGCAAGGACAAAGATTTTGAGTTAGAAATGTCTTGGATTAGCTCACTAGACGGGCCAACCCATGGCAGGCATGAAGAAGTGCCCAAACAGCTTCTTGAAGAAGCAGAAAAGGCGGCAAAGAGGTCTCTAGAAGGTGAAGATGAGGAGGAAGAGGAAGGAGCAAAGGATGGCACTAACCAAGGGGAGCGGATGGAGGAGTAAAATGAGCAAACCAAGGGCGGAATCTAAGAATATCCTAGTATAATATTTTTTTTTTTTTTTCATTTCCATCAAGTCGTTAATCCAGTATAATGTTGCGCATACATAAAGTCCTATACCTCTGACCATGAGGGCCTGCTACTAAAATCCTAACTTACAAGTGTCATCAGATCCTAATAATCAATCCCTGGAAGTTTTCGAAAAAGACCTAAGCAATTCTACCTTCAGCCCATTCTCTTCTTCTTGCTCCAAACTCCACAGCAGCGTTACCCCAATCTTCTCCATGATTATGCATTCCCTTCTTCCCTAGCCCAGCCCTTTCCAAGCCCTGTTCTTCAGTCAAAACGGTGAGCACCCCAAAAATGACAGGCACGCCCGAATCTAATTGAACACGCATCAATCCGTGAGAGACAGCATCTGCGATGTACTCAAAATGCATAGTCTCTCCCTTGATAAGAACGCCTATGGCTATAATGGCATCAAACGGCCTAGAGGTTGCAGATGCTGGGGATTGCGGAGACGCTTTGCTAATGTCTGCAGTGGAGGAAGAGAGCAGATCCGTGGCACTGATCCCCTCACCGGAGGACGAGCTCTTGGCTGCTTGTAGCTGAGAAGCTGCGTAGAGCCTAGGAGGAAAAGAGGACAGGCGTCAGGATGAAGCCCTGGTAGTAAAATAGCGGCATAAAAACAGAGTTATACTTACCGCTGAGCGGCGTATGGTAACTCATAGCTGCCAGGGACAGTCAGGGTTGTGATATGGTCCTCAACTACACCAGCTGCTAGAAGGCTCTTTCTTGCCCCTTCCACAAGAGGACCAATTATGCCCATATTCCACCTCGCATGAACAATTGCAATTCGGAGCCCCGAGCCTATAGAAACAGATAAGCAAGCGATGAGCCAAAACCTCCCCTCTTATGTCTCTATCATACCGTCAAAGCCTAGAGTAGCTCCTGGTCCTTTCAAAGATTCCATAGTTGAAATTTGTCACAGTTAAACGGGGTCAGTCAATTGTGAAAGCTGCAAGTCATACATAGGCCTTTGTGCGATGATTATCGAATCATCATATGGGGGGAATACCCCGCGGACCTGGTGGGAGAGTTGTGATTACGTAATTACCAGTATTCCAGAGAACTAACGTAACCGGAAAGCCGCTGGGTCAGCTCCATATCTCATGGAAAATTGTCTATTTTCAAATATCAATATCTCAACCACTATTAAATATATCGGGCTACAACTTAAATATATTATTAATATATATATAATCTACACCCTATCTATCTATTAGCAGAAAAAGATATTAAGAAATATAAATTATCGCTACATACTAATAATACAATAAAATATATTATAATTTATTTTACCCTTGTAAATAAGGATTATTAGAATCTATAAATTTTAAAGATTATTCTTCAGGTATATAATAGACTATCTATAAAATCTGAAGTACTTATTAAGTAGATTGGCTGAGATATTGGTGTTTGAAATAAGGCTATATTATATGGAATACAGAGCTGGTCCAGCGGCTTTCCAGTTATGTTAGTCCAAATTTCTGCCAGGTCGTCATTACCGCCTTTTAGTCATGTTGAACCTTCCTTCTCAAGTGACTTTTGAAACAAGCACGTCTTGGTGTATTTTTTCTATGTATTGTGTATTGTATACTTATTATAAAAAGTAATATTGCCTGTATAATTACTACTGCCACCTTAATAAGCTTAACTTTGGGAGAAACAGTACTTGCAAGACATTAGATCACTCAAATTTACGCTGAGATGGAATAGTATTGCACTAGATAAAGTGAGACGTCAATGGGATGAACAGGACCACTGTGGCAGTATTACAGCTTCTACCGCTTCTTAGTTCAGTAGTGATATGAGGATTCAACATCATATTTATTGTATATACTCCGGAGTAATAAGCTTCAATGGTGTGTCCATCTATGCCGTCTAATTATATCAAAAATACGGAGTAAAAGGCTAGGTAAGAAAATCTAATACCCGTTCTATGAGTGGATGGTTAACTCATTCTCCCGCCATACCTCACTCCAACTACACCGTCGTCATGGTTAACTGTATGTAGTAATTGGCGATCACCAAGGTAGTTAATATTTGATAGCTATGCACCCCGGATCGTTGTACTAGAGACAATATAGATCAATCTATATGGAATAAGAATAGAATATTACCCTACATTGAGTAGCACTAGGAGCATGCTCGACCCACTAGTATCCTAGTCAAGTCATTGAAACATCCCACAGATATCATTGCCTGCAACATTGCATTCTACCGGACAATTATGGAAATAAAAAATGGGAGGGGGGGAGGGAAACTCATTCGAAAGATAGCAAGGATGCTCCATAGGACTCTGCATCTTCCATAGGCCAAACTTCGCTGTGCCAATAGCGAAAATTTACTCAACAGTGACTGACTTGGCAAGGTTACGAGGGAAATCGACATTAAGACCCTCAGACACAGCCAACCAGTAAGCGATCAGCTGCAAGGGGATGACATTCAGGAGACCTTGCAGGCAATCGACAGTCTTCGGCACTTCGATTTTCACGGTTTGAGCCGAAGAGAATTCCGGGTCGTCGGAATTACAGATCACAATAGGGCGTCCACCTCTAGCAATGACTATCAAAGTATTAGACAAAATGACCACATTTGCTATTTGCTAGTTTTCAACTCACCTTGTTGATAAGCATTCAACGACTTTGTGAACAAGTTATCCCTCGTGAGAATCATGATGATGGGCAAGTTCTCATCGACAAGGGCAAGAACACCATGCTTCAACTCGCCGGACATAACAGCCTCACAATGAAGATAGGAGATCTCCTTGATTTTAAGCGCACCTATATAA